GAACCTTTCCCTGACAGGAACCCAAGAGAGCCTCCCAGGGGAGAGCCCTGCTTTAACCTCGTGTTCTCAGAGGCAGATCCAATGTCCCAATGGCCACATTAGGTGCCAATACTGAAATCTGAGCATCCATTGGCCCAAGCACAGCATCCCAAAAAACACATTTCCTGTCAAACCACCACAACTGGGGTGGGGACAACCACCAACAAAAAGAAGAACAAGAGGACAACAAGAAGAAGAAAGTGATGCCTCGGGTTTGAGCTTTTCTATTTTTCAGATTCTGTGCTGATTTAGTATGTGGGTCTGAGCTTCATATTCTGGGATGGTGAGCTCTGTGCACAGAGCAGGGAGACAAAACAATTCCAGCTCCAGCTGGGCACCAAGGACAAATGATCCAAATCTCAGCCCCAGAGCACAAACCCCGTGGGCTGGAGAGAGAAAAACAAGCAGGGTGGGACTGCAGGGGCTAAAGCTGGGATGGGACAATGAACTGCAAGATGCAAATGGAGCAGAACTGATCCCAGGGACAGAGCCCGTGCCCGGCCGTGCATTTTGGGGCCATTTTGGTTCATCTTGGGTGCAGCCCTGGCTGGGCTCTGGTGCTGCCCAAGGTGCATCCATGGAGGAGATGCTTTGAATCAATCCCTGCTTTATTCTTTAGCTCTGCCCAGCCTCTGCTCTGGGGCAGCCTGCACAAGGCATCAGAAGCAGAAAATGCTGTTCCTGCCTGCTCTTCCCTGCTCTCTTTTTCATGTGAAATACAAAGCTGAGTTTGGTATCAGGTACACACAGGGCATGCGTGATATGTCTGGAAACCGACCATGGGACAGTTATAAAGATGAATTCTAATAATAACTGAGGAAAGTAAAGCATGGAAGAAGGCCTTTGAACCTATCCTTTGTTTGCAATTAACCTTTATAAGTCTTAAGTTGATTTAGGAGCATTTGAATTAAAGCTTTAAGGATGTTGCTTTTTGACAGGAACTTTCTGCTTGCAGCAAAGATTTAAAGAGTTTTGCAATAATAACCTTTTGAAGTGTAATTTTAGAATATTGCTTGTAGAAAGGATCTTTGAAACTATAGCTTTAGAATATATAAAAAGGAAACATGCTTATCTCAGGCCTTAACAAAACTGTGAAAAGCAGCTTGAGAAAGGAAGGTGAACATCACCTCAAGGATTTAGCACTAAGAGCAAGGGAAGCTGGACATCACTGTTATGAGATTTATAGGCCTTGCAATTAAAAGGTGGACCCACATCTGGAGAGCTGGACTCCCCCAGATGGGAGACTCCTTTTGGGATACATCCTGAGAAAAAGTAAATCACAATAGTGTATAGAATTGTGATGTAAAAATTGGAATAGAAACTGCTGAGGAAGCTGATGAGTACCCCTGTAAATACCTGTAAGCCTCAACTATCTGTGTGCAGTAGGAGGGAAACTTCCCCCACTGTACCCAGCACTGCATGGCTCATACTTTACCAAATCAATTAATAAATTGATTGCTGCTTGAATATTGGCCTAGTCAAGCTTCTCATTTATAACATTCATCATCATCATCAAGAAGAAGAAAGAGTAAAGGTGTGGGGTTGTTGCTGCTGCTTTGGCCTGGGACTCTGTGGGAGCTTTTACTTCTGCCTCTGCCTGGGACTCCATGCCAGAAAGTTTTAGCACAGACTTTACACTTGGTTTGGAAAGCCAGGTGTCTGCTAAGGAAGGCAGGAGCTTCCCCTAAAATGGAGAATGTAAACCTCCTCTTTCCAAATTATTGCAATTTTGAAATTAAGGGGCTCTCAGGTAGAGATGTGGGAGCAGGAATAACAGTTCTCTACTAGGGAAGAAAATAAAAATAAAATTTAAAATGCAGTAATACAAAACAGCACTAAGAGTTCAAACACAACCTGACACCCTTTCAGTCAAAGATTAAACAGTAGCTGCAGTTTTCTTAGAGTGACAGATGGAGCTCTGTTAAAGCACTGCTCTTGTAGAAAAGTGCTCTTGTAGAAAAGTGAAGTTTTCTTCTGAAGATCTAGTAGTGCTGGGAATCCAGTAGAGAAAAAAGCTGCTCTTCTATTTAGAATTGAGTAAGAAAAGGCTGACTGTGGTGTTCTAAATCCCTGATTATATTTAAATAAAAATCCTTTGTTCCTCCCTCTGGGCAGAGCATCTCACAATAAGATGATTTAATTTTATCAGTTGTACAGTGAAGCCCAACAGCCTATTAAGAAAAGACACCTTCCTAAAAAGAAGGTTAGTTGTAGAAAAGCTAAAGAAAAGTGCTCAATTAACAGAAAACAAGTGCCTTACCTTCAACAAATAGTAACAGAATACACTCTGCCAGCTGCATCTCCTAACCTCAGAACTCTCAACAACTCACTTAGAACTCTCTGCCTTCAGGACTCATGCAAAAAACAACTTTACTACAACCAGCAGCTGCTCCTGTCTCTCTGAAGACCCAAGGCCCACAGCAAAGTGGACAGAAATGAACTCCAGGAAGTGGAGTTGAGTTCTCTGGGTGTGTTCAGCACCGAGGATGAGGATGGCTGAATTTTACTGCTTCAGGTTGGGTTGGAAAGTGTGGGTTTGGCATCACCTCCTGCAGCTCAAGGCCATTCCCTGGCTCCTGTCCCTCCATCCCTTGTCCCTCTCAGCTCTCCTGGAGCCCCTTTAGGCCCTGGAAAGGGATTTAAGGTCTCCCTGGAGCCTTCTTCTCTCCAGGCTAAAAAATAACCATTAGAAAAGTATTGCTTGAACAAACAATTCACTGCAGTATCAGTTATAACCACTTCCATTGGTAACAGATTGATTAAAACCCCTTGCTGTAATCATTATCTCCACCATCTGAAATCCAGGATCTATAATAGATGGATTAAAATCCCTTTTCTCTAATCATTATCTCCATCATCATCTGAAATCCAGGATTTATAATAGATTGATTAAAATCCCTTTTCTCTAATCATTATCTCCACCATCTGGAATCCAGGATCTATAATAGATTAATTAAAACCCCTTGCTGTAATCATTATCTCCATCATCTGAAATCCAGGATCTATAATAGATTGATTAAAATTCCTGTCTCTAATCATTATCTCCACCATCTGAAATCCAGGATTTCAGATTTTACTTCTATTTTATTTCTATTTTACTGTTGGAATGCTGGGGGACACAAGGCAGATGATGGATTTTGGAGCTGGTTAACATCAGAGATTTGATAAGGGGATGCCTTGGCAAAAGCAAAGGGAACTTTGAAAATTAGACCTGGACTGCAAGAAGATTCAATCAGACAGGTTTACTGGAAAAAGAAAATCTCATTAAACTCTGCAAGCAAGAGATGTTGTTGTATGCATAAATTTGTGTGTGTGATTGTAACCTGATCATTGTAGTACACATTGCTGGTCTCCCTAAATAGAATAGAAGTGTTTGTATCCCACAATAAAATCAGATCCTGATCACCAGCAGGCTCCTCATCTCTCTCCATCACCAACATTTTACCTGTACCCATATTTACTGGTTTATTGGTTAAAAACTCCTTAAAAGGTCTTGTGACCTGAGCCATGCAGTGAAGATGTGAGCTGAACTCACCCTTCCTGCCTGTGCAGAAAATAAGAAAAATAAACCACATCATCAAAAACAATTCAGAGGTCCCATCTTGAATTCACTCAAAAATTCCTCACAACTCACAACCACTTCCATTGTGTGTAACAGATTGATTAAAATCCCTTTCTCTAATCGTTATCTCCATCATCTGAAATCCAGAATTTATTTTAGCTGGATCAAACCTTGGGTTTGCCATCCTTAATCCTGAGGGACAAACTCCCAGGAAGGATCAGTCCCACCCTACAAACCCCTGGGCACAAAGCAGAGCTCAGCTCTGTCACTAAACCTGGCTCCAGTCACACCCAGACTCCTCCTGGAGAAGGCATTTGGGAACCCAGGAGTTCCTCACCCTCCAGGGCACAATTCCTGCCCAAAATCCCATCAAATCCTGCTCTGGAGCCGTTCCCTGGGTGCTGTCCCCCCATCCCCAGAGCCCCTTTAGGGACTCTGGGCTCTCCCCAAAACCTTTCCAGGCTGAACAATCCCAACTCTCCCAGCCTGTCTTCAGAAAAGAACCAAATTTTCATTTCTGCCTCCATTACCACCTGACATCTGTCCAATAAAAACATCTTGGGATTTCCTGTGCAACCTTCCCCACGTTTTCCACCTCCCAAGAAATCCTTTAATCCTGCAAGGTGTTCACAAAGCTCTCAAGATCAGGATCCTCCTCCTGCTCATTCAAAAATAATATTTCCTAACACACCTTCAGTGCTTTCCTAAAATCCCATTTTCAGGTGCTCTGTGCTTTAAAATTATTGAAATATTCCAGGAATGGGGCACCAAAAGCTTCAGACAAGTGAGAGCAGGTGGTAAAAGCCCCCAGGAAAAATGAGGGAAGGATTTCCCTTTGAAGCTCACAACTGCCTGAGCTTCACTTACAGTGCAGAAAAGGAGCTCTGGCACTGGGGGAGCTCTGGGGAGTGGGAGTTCTCTCTAAAAAATGATTTATTCATTAAAAAAAACCCCAAACATGAACAAATAACCACACAACTCTGCAAGTCTGCAGCTAAAAATCCACTCTGCTGAATATTTTGTGGCCTCTTCCCTCTTTACCTGCAGAATTAGTTTTTGATGGAGCATTTGTTAACCATAAATGAAATGTAAATATTGAAATACAGAATTCCTGTTTAATTTAAACCCTGGCTTAGGAGGAGGGAAAGCATTTCCAGCCTGTGGCTCAGACTTTACTGTTTAATTCCAGTTTCAGTTCTGAATTCAGTCAAGGAGATCCAAATTGCAAAAGCATCGAGACAAAAATAGAGAAGTGTCAAAGGAAGAAGTCAAAGTTGATTTGCTTATTGTTGTGGAAACGCCAGGAAATTAACTTCTGGTCATTAATTATGGCACAGCAGAGGAAGAAGTGGCTCAGACTTGATAAAAAGCAAAAAAAGCAAAAAAAGAAACCACTCACTTGGAGGCTGCTCCAGCGTGGAACCTTTGCCTTCTGCTCTCTGGGGCTCAGTCACCTGCTGGCAAAAATATCAGATTACAAAACCCAAATCCATCTCCCTGACTGCATTTCAACAGAGCCAAAAGCCCCAAATGCCTCAGCAAGTACAGCAGTGACAATGTGCTGCATTACCTTCCTCATCAAGGGGCAAAGAAAGATCATCTCATTAGCAAAGGCCTTTTCTGATGGTTTCCTCCCAAGTTTGCCTCAATCTCTGTTATCTACAAATCTGGCACAGAAACATCGCCCTGAGGAAGCCAAACTCCCAGAGATTTGCAGCAGACAATAAAAGCAAAGCCCTGAGCCCATCTGGGGCTTTCCCCAGCCTGTTTTTCTCTGCCCAAATCTCCATTTCCTGCCCTCCTGCTCTGGTTTCGTTTTCCCAGGGCCACGTCACGGCCCAGGGCCCTCCCCCTGCCCGGACAGACAAACAGCTCTGCCTCAAAATCCCAAAAATCCACCAGCATCTGCTGCATTCTGCAGCTTCTTCAGAGTGCAATTCATGGGCTACATTATAATGTGTAAATGTTACATTAATATAGATTCTTATACATTTATAGTATATATCTATAGAGATGACATATTCATATATCCATATTTAATAGATAATAAATTTAAATGCAATATATTTCTAATCTATAATAATTATAGATTAGAAATTATAATTATTATAATAAATGATATAAGTAATATTATAATTATAATAATACTATTATAACACTACTATACTATAATTATAATTATACTATTATAATAAATTATATAAGTAATATAATTTATTATAATAGCTTAATGAATATATAAATATATATTATATATCTATATCATACATGATAATATATATTATAACATAAATGAATAGAATATAATATATTTATAAATATAAATAAAATATATTCATAAATTCATTAATATTTAATATATTATAATAACTATTATAATTAAGCATATAAATAATTAAACAAATATATATATTATATATTATTTTATATTATATATAATTAAATATTAAATATTAATATTTACTATTAATATTAATATTTAATATTTAATATTTAATATTAAATATTATATATTATATATAATATATATTATATATAATTAAACAAATATATATTAAACATTAAAATATAATTGGCTATTATATTTTAATATTATATGTATATATTATAACATTATCATATTATATTGTATTCGCATAAAATATTATATGAATATAATATATATTCATATAATGTATCTATAATATTATACGTATTTTATAATACAATATATTTATAAATGTAAATATAATATATTTATAGTATATTATATTTAAATATATATATTATATTTACATTATATATATTATAAATATATCTTATAGCATATAAATTTTAATTGATTATCTTACCATAACGACAGCCAAGACAACAAAAATGCCACAAATATCTCGTTAAATTAATAATGACTTATTACTGATTTTAAATTGAAAAACTTCAAAATAAAATCTAAAAATATAAAAGTAAAAAAAAAACAAACATGACAACTCTTCCTCCAAACAACCAACTGAAAATCCCAATTTCTGTGGTGGCTTTGGAAGGAAATATCCCAGGAAAATGCACAATTGCTGAAAGAATTGCAGAGCTGCAGGCACAGCATTGCAGCTGGAATTCCTGCAGGAAATCCTGCACTTCCAGCTGGAATTCCTGATATTCTAGATGGAATTCCTGCAGTTCCAGGTGCAATTCCTGCATTTCCAGGTGGAATTTCTGCAGTTCCAGCTGGAATTCCTGAAATTCCAGATGGAATTCCTGCAGTTCCGGGTGGAATTCCTGCAGTTCCAGGTGCAATTCCTGCAATCCTGGATCGAATTCCTGCATTTCCAGGTGGAATTCCTGAAGCTCCAGGTGGAATTCCTGTAGGAATTCCTGCAATCCCAGGTGCAATTCCTGCAATCCTGGATCAAATTCCTGCAGTTCCAGCTGGAATTCCTGCATTTACAGCTGGAATGTCTGCAGGAATTCCTGCAGTTCCGGCTGGAATTCCTGAAACTCCAGGTGCAATTCCTGCAATTGGAATTCCTGCAATTCCAGATGCAATTCCTGCAGTTCCAGCTGGAATTCCTGAAATTCCAGATGGAATTCCTGCAGTTCCAGCTGGAATTCCTGTAGGAATTCCTGCAATCCCAGGTGCAATTCCTGCAGGAATTCCTGCAGTGCCAGGTGGAACTCCTGCAATTGGAATTCCTGCAATTCCAGGTGGAATTCCTGTAGGAATTCCTGCAATCCTGGATCGAGTTCCTGCATTTCCAGGTGGAATTTCTGAAGTTCCAGGTGGAATTTCTCCAGTTCCAGCTGGAATTCCTGAAATTCCAGGTGGAATTCCTGCAGTTCCAGGTGGAATTCCTGCAATTGGAATTCCTGCAGCTCCAGGCCGAATTCCTGCAATTCCAGGTGGAACTATTTTTTTTTAATAATAATTCCAGGTGGAATTATTTTTTTCCTGCACTTCCAGGAATTCCTGCAATCCCAGGTGCAATTCCTGCAATCCTGGATCAAATTCCTGCAGTTCCAAGTGGAATTCCTGCATTTCCTGTAGGAATTCCTGAAGCTCCAGAGGGAATTCCTGCAATTGGAATTCCTGCATTTCCAAGTGGAATTCCTGAAGCTCCAGAGGGAATTCCTGCAATTGGAATTCCTGCAGTTCCAGCTGGAATTCCTGTAGGAATTCCTGATATTCTAGATGGAATTCCTGATATTCTAGATGGAATTCCTGCAGCTCCAGGTGCAATTCCTGCAGTTCCAGCTGGAATTCCTGTAGGAATTCCTGCAGTTCCAGCTGGAATTCCTGCATTTCCAGGTGGAATTTCTGAAGCTCCAGGTGGAATTTCTCCAGTTCCAGCTGGAATTCCTGCAATTCCAGGTGGAATTCCTGCAGTTCCAGGTGGAATTCCTGCATTTCCAAGTGGAATTCCTGAAGCTCCAGAGGGAATTCCTGCAATTGGAATTCCTGCAGTTCCAGGTGGAATTCCTGTAGGAATTCCTGATATTCTAGATGGAATTCCTGATATTCTAGATGGAATTCCTGCAATCCCAGGTGCAATTCCTGCAATCCCAGGAGGAATTCCCGAATTTCCAGCTGTACCTTGTCTGTCTCCTGGTTTTCAGCCCCCTGGGGCTGTTTGGGCTCATCCTGGCTCCTCTTCCTCTCCTTTTCTGCCCCTTTCTGCTCCTGGGAAGTTCCTGGAGCAGATTTTGAGGAAGTGCAGTCCCTGATGTGGAAAAACAGAGAATTCCTGGGTTTTTCCCCATGTTTTAGACAAATATACCATGAAAAAATCAGATTAATAAAAATTAATCTCACCCCTCTTAGAGGAGTGTAATCCCATAAATATATAACATATATTCATTTATATAGAATATAAAATAATAATTTATATCCATTATAAATATAAAAACCTAAAGGATTTCATCAGGCTTTGTTTACAGCTCCAAACTTGTGCAAAGATGCAGCAACAGCAAAAAAAAATCCACAAATAAAAACATTTCATAAAATAATAAAATAATTTTAAAAAACCACCTCAATTTTCTACAAAAATTGGAACTGAATGACTAAATTTATCTATTTAGAAGTTAAATAATTAATAATGGGAATTAATTGTTAAAAATGCCCTGGCCCCACACTGCTTTGGATGCTGAAGTTTATAGAGTTCATAGAAATCCTCAGCACTTCTGACCAATTTATTAATTCTGGTTTTATTTCCTGATGGACAACAAAATGTATGCAGTATCTGCATGATGTAGCACTTAAACAATGGTAATTTTTAAAAAATCTATTTTAAAATCTATTAAAAATCTATTAAAAATCAGTTAGAAATCAATGAATTAAATCGATGAATTAAATCAACAAGAAACCAATTTTAAATGAACCAAAAAAAAGCCAATTTTTTTAAAGAATCAGTTAAAAATCAGTTAAAAATCAATGAATTAAATCAATGAAAAATCAATGGAAAATCAATGAAAAAATCAACAAAAAATCAATTAAAAATCAATTTAAAACAAACCAAAAAAATTGCCAATAAAAATCAACGAAAAATCAACAAAAAATCAATGAAAAATCAATTTCAAATGAAGCAAAAAACATTGCTCATTTTTTAAAGAATCAACGAAAAATCAATGAAATTCAAGGAAAAATCAACCAAAAAAATCAATGAAAAACCAATTTAAAATGAACCAAAAAATATTGCCAATTTTTTAAAAGATTAATGCAAAATCAATAAAAAAAACAGTGAAAAAGGAACAAAAAATGAACAGAATAAATGAAAAATCAATGAAAAATCAATTTAGAATGAATGAAAAAACATCACTAATTTTTAGAAAAATCAACCAAAAATCAACCAAAAGTCAACCAAAAATCTACCAAAAATCTACCCAAAAATCAATCAACAAAAAAATCAATCTACCAAAAAATCAATCAACCAAAAATCAACCAAAAAATCAACCGAAAATCAACCAAAAAATCAACCAAAAAATCAACCAAAAAATCAACCAAAAAATCACCAAAAAAAAAACCAAAAATCAACCAAAAATCAACCAAAAATCAACCCAAAATTCAACCAAAAAATCAACGAAAAATCAACCAAAAATCAACCAAAAAATCAACCAAAATTCAACCAAAAAATCAACCAAAATTCAACCGAAAATCAACCAAAAAATCAACCAAAATTCAACCAAAAATCAAACAAAAAATCAACCGAAAATCAACCGAAAAATCAACCAAAATTCAACCAAAAATCAACCAAAAAATCAACCAAAAATCAACCAAAATTCAACCAAAAAATCAACCAAAAATCTACTGAAAAATCAACCAAAAATCAACCGAAAATCAACCAAAAATCAACCGAAAATCAACCAAAAAATCAACCAAAAAATTACCCAAAAATCAACCAAAAAATCAACCAAAAAATCAACCAAAATTCAACCAAAAAATCAACCAAAAATCAACCAAAAATCAACCAAAAAATCTACCAAAAAAATCTACCAAAAAATCAACCACAAATCAACCAAAAAATCAACCAAAAATCAATCAACCAAAAATCCACCAAAAAATCAACGCAAAATTAACCCAAAAATCAACCCAAAAATCAATGCGAAATCAACCCAAAAATAAACCAAAAATCAACCGAAAAATCAACTGAAAATCAACCAAAAAAATCAACCAAAACTCAACCAAAAAAAACCAACCAAAAACCCAACCAAAAAATCAACCAAAAATCAACCGAAAATCCACCGAAAAATCAACCGAAAAATCAACCGAAAAATCAACTGAAAATTAACCAAAAATCAACCAAAAATCAACCAAAAAAATCAACCAAAAATCAACCAAAAATCAACCCAAAATCAACCCAAAAATCAACCAAAAAAATCAACCAAAAAAATCAACCAAAAAAATCAACCAAAACTCAACCAAAAACCCAACCAAAAATCAACCAAAAAATCAACCAAAAAATCAACAAAAAAATCAACGAAAAGTCTACCAAAAATCAACAAAAAATCTACCAAAAATCAACGAAAAATCTACCAAAAATCAATGAAAAATCTACCAAAAATCAATGAAAAATCTACCAAAAATCAATCAAAAATCAACCGAAAAATCTACCAAAAAAACCAACCAAAAACCAATCAAAACCCAACCAAAAACCAACCAAAATCAACCAAAAAATCAACTAAAAATCAACCAAAACCCAACCCAAATTCCCCCCAAACCAACCCCTTACTTTTTCTCTGGCAGAGGCTTCCTCGCCCTCAGTTTGTGCTCCGTCCCTACAACAACCCAGAGAAGGAGGAATTAAAACCAAGCCCCAGCTCCCTGAGCACACCCCAGCTGTGCCATCCCAGGGTTACCCCAGCTCTCCTGGCAGCTGTGCCTCAGTTTCTCCTTCTGCTGGACGAGCTCCTTGATCCCCTCGGCGCTGTTCTGGCACAGCTCCTGCGCCTTCTCGTTGGCCACCAGGGCCAGCTCAGCCTTGCCCAGCAGGGCCAGGGCTTTGCAGTAGTGGTAGTGACCCTAGGATGAAAGAAAAAAGAAGAAAAAATTCAATTAAATCAGGATTTTAAGGTTCTAGCCACACCAAGGAGAGGAGGATTTAATAGGGAATCTTGCTGCAGTAGCAGCAAAAAAGGTGAATTTTGTGTAATCCAGAGAGTGAGCTGCTGTCAGCTGATGAAAAAGCAGATTTGGACTGGAACAGGGATAAGTCATTGGGAAAAAGGAAATTTGGGTGGGTTTTTTTTTGCTTTCTCTGCTTTGGAAAAGAGCAAATTTGCTTTTTCTTCTCTAATCTCAGCCACTTGGCAATGCTGTATGTATCTGTTGTTTACTCTCCTTCAGGCCAGGAATATTGGCAAATACCTGTTGGCCATTAACCAGGAGTTTTCTATGTATCTAAAGGCATTTTTTAAAATATTCTGATAACTCCCAGCATAATAAACATTTTGTTCTGTCCTGACACATGCCAAGCACCTCAAAATAACATTTTAAACCTAAAAACCCAAGCAAAATGCACTTGGCAGAATCCTCAGGCCACAAAGCTCTGTGTCCACTCATGAAAAATCAGCTCTGGGTTCTCCTCTTGCTCTAAAATGCCAAAATAAAATAAAATAAAATAAAATTTTGGAATGTGCAAGAAACCAACCTTTGGCCAGTCAGGCTTGAGAACTATGGCTCTTTTTCCATCAAGGACAGCTCTCCTGAGAGAAAGGGAGGGGAAACAAGAGGAATTTGTTATTTATAGCTTTATACGTTATATATCTATAAAATAATAATATTGTGTGTATATATATATATATATATATACACACACACATAATTATATATTTTGATATATATTATATACGATATATTATATGTAATATAAATATATAATATATAAAACATATAATATATAAAATAAATATATATGATACAAATTATATATAAAATATAAGATATATATATAAAATATAAGATATGCATAATGTATAAGATATATATAATCTATATGATATGTATATTTTATAAGTATATATAAATATATAAATAAATATATAAATATATATATTTATATAAGTTTCTAAAAATAAATTTATATATAAATATATATATAAATATATATATAAATATATATATATATATATATATATATATATATATATATATATAAAAATAAATATATATATATATATTTAAAAATCTCCAGGCTGGTGTAAAAATAAATAAAATAAATACAAAAATAACTTAAATACAAAAAAAACCCAAACAAACAAACAAAAAACAAAAAAACCCAAAAAACAAACCCCCCCCAAAATAATAAAAATACAAAAAAATACAAAAAACCCACCATAAACAGAAATCTAATATATGAGAATATAAAAATTAAAAATCGAATACAATAAATAAAATAAATAAAAATTTAATAAATAAATAAATAAATAAATAAAATAAAAATGGAACAGCAGCTCATATGGAAATTATGAAATGGTTGGGGTTTTTTCCCAAACTATGGAATGGTTTGGGGTTTTTTTTTCCAAACTATGGAATGGTTTGGGGTTTTTTTTCCAAACTAGGGAATGGTTTGGGGTTTTTTTCAAACTATGGAATAGTTTGGGGTTTTTTTCCAAACTATGGAATGGTTTGGGTTTTTTTTTTTTCCCCAAACTATGGAATGGTTTGGGATTTTTTTCCAAACTATGGAATGGTTTGGGGGTTTTTCCAAACTATGGAATGGTTTGGGTTTTTTTCCCAAACTATGGAATGGTTTGGGGTTTTTTTTTCCAAACTATGGAATGGTTTGGGGTTTTTTTTTTTCCAAACTATGGAATGGTTTGGGGTTTTTTCCAAACTATGGAATGGTTGGGGTTTTTTTCCCAAACTATGGAATGGTTTGGGGTTTTTTTCCCAAACTATGGAATGGTTTGGGGTTTTTTTTCCCAAACTATGGAATGGTTTGGGGTTTTTTCCCAAACTATGGAATGGTTTGGGGTTTTTTTCCAAACTATGGAATGGTTTGGGGTTTTTCCTGAAACTATGAAATGGTTTGGGTTTTTTTTTCCATGGTTTGGGTTTTTTTTTTCCAAACTATGAAATGGTTTGGGTTTTTCCCAAACTATGGAATGGTTTGGGGTTTTTTTTTTCCAAACTATGGAATGGTTTGGGGTTTTTTTCAAACTATGGAATGGTTTGGGGTTTTTTTCCCAAACTATGGAATGGTTTGGGGTTTTTTTTTCCAAACTATGGAATGATTTGGGTTTTTTCCCAAACTATGAAATGGTTTGGGGTTTTTTTCCCAAACTATGGAATGGTTTGGGGTTTTTTTCCCAAACTATGGAATGGTTTGGGTTTTTTTCAAACTATGGAATGGTTTGGGGTTTTTTTTCCAAACTATGGAATGGTTTGGGGTTTTTTTTCCAAACTATGGAATGGTTTGGGGTTTTTTCCAAACTATGGAATGGTTTGGGGTTTTTTTTCCAAACTATGGAATGGTTTGGGGTTTTTTCCAAACTATGGAATGGTTTGGGGTTTTTTTCAAACTATGGAATGGTTTGGGGTTTTTTCCAAACTATGGAATGGTTTGGGTTTTTTTCCCAAACTATGGAATGGTTTGGGGTTTTTTCCAAACTATGGAATGGTTTGGGGTTTTTTTTCCCAAACTATGAAATGGTTGGGGGTTTTTTTCCAAACTATGGAATGATTTGAGGTTTTTTCCCAAACTATGGAATGGTTTGGGGTTTTTTCCCAAACTATGGAATGGTTTGGGGTTTTTACAAACTATGGAATGGTTTGGGAGTTTTTTTCCCAAACTATGGAATGGTTTGGGGTTTTTACAAACTATGAAATGGTTTGGGTTTTTTCCCAAACTATGAAATGGTTTGGGGTTTTTTTCCAAACTATGGAATGGATTGGGTTTTTTTCCCAAACTATGGAATGATTTGAGGTTTTTTTCCAAACTATGGAATGGTTTGGGGTTTTTTCCCAAACTATGGAATGGTTTGGGGTTTTTTCCCAAACGCTGGAAATGGTTTAGGGTGGGAAAGGGCCTCAAATCTCCCCCAAACTGAGCAGGGCCACCTTGCACCACCCCCAGGCTGCTCCAAGAACAAACCCACCCTGGCCATGAACCCTTCCAGGGATCCATAACCACCCCCAACTGCAGCCACTCAAGCAGAAACAACATTTAGGGCTTTAAAGAATGCAATTTATTCCCCTTCCATTCCCTTTTTGCAAGCAGCTCAGGCCAGGGGTCACTCACCCGTACTGCCTGGTGAGAATGAAGCACAGAGCTCGGTTCCCATACAGCAGGTGGTTGGTAGGGCTGGGAAAAATAACATTATCAAGGGTTAATAATGGTTATTGCTACTGGAATCACTGGGGAGAAGGGAGAAAATGGGATTTTCACCAGATCTGCCTGCAAAAAACCCCACACAGAAAACCCCGTGGGTTTATTTGTTCATTGGAATTGGGGGATCATTCCTAAGGTTTGGGGCCTTTAAGGCAACTTCCAATTAGTTAATAATGGTTATTCCTATTGAAAACCCTAAGGAGAAGGAAAAAAAATTGAATTTTGATCAGATTTGCCTGCAAAATTCCACACAGAAAACCCTATGTGTTTATATGGGAATGTTCATTAGAATTGTGGGATCATTTGTAAGTTTTGGGGCCATCAATGCAACTTCCTATTAACGCAAATTATTGTCAGCCAGCTCAGAGTTAGTAATAGCTATTGCTATTGAAAACTGTAAGGAGAGGAAAAAATGGGATTTTTACCAGATTTGCCTGCAAAGGAGGAGAAAAAATTGAATTTTCATCAGATTTGCCTGCAAAAACTCCACACAGAAATATGGCTTTATATGGGAATGTTCATTAGAATTGTGCGATCATTTGTAAGTTTTGGGGCCATCAATGCAAACTTCCTATTAATTCAAATTATTCTCAGCCAGTTCAGAGTTAATCATGGCTATTCCTATTGAAAACCTTAAGGAGAAGGAAAAAATTTGAATTTTCACCAGATTTGCTTGCAAAGAAGAAGAAATAACTGAATTTTCACCAGATTTGCCTGCAAAAACTCCACACAGAAAACCCTATGTGTTTATATGGGAATGTTCATTAGAATTGTGGGATCATTTGTAAGTTTTGGGGCCATTGATACAACTTCCAATCAATTCAAATTATTCTGAGCCAGCTCAGAGTTAATCATGGCTATTCCTATTAAACTCTAAGGAGATGGAAAAAGTTTGAATTTTCACCAGATTTGCTTGCAAAGAAGGAGAAAAAATTGAATTTTCACCAGATTTGCCTGAAAAAAACTCCACACAGAAATATGTGTTTATATGGGAATGTTCATTAGAATTGTGGGATCATTTGCAAGTTTTGGGGCCATTCATGCAACTCCCAATTAGTTAATAAAAACTATTCCTACTGAAATCCCTAAGAAGAAAAATATAAAAAGGGATTTTCACCAGATTTGCCTGCAAGAACTCCACACAGAAAACCCCATGGGTTTACAAGTTGTCACTGGGAATATTCATTAGAATTGGGGAATCTTATAAAAGATTGGGGCCATTAATGCAACTTCCAATTAGTTAATAATGGTTATTCCTATTGAAATCCCTAAGGAGAAGGAAAATATTGGGTTTTTACCAGATCTGACTCAAAAAATCCACACAGAAAACCCCATTGGTTTGCATGGCAATGTTCATTGTAATTGTGGGATCATTTGTAACTTTTGGGGCCATCAATGCAACTTCCAATTAATTCAAATTATTCTCAGCCAGCTCAGAGTTAATCATGGCTATTCCTATTGAAAACCTTAAGGAGAAGGAAAACATTTGAATTTTCACCAGATTTGCTTGCAAAGAAGAAGAAATAACTGAATTTTCATCAGATTTGCCTGCAAAAATTCCACACAGAAAACCCCGTGGGTTTATATGGGAATGTTCATTAGAATTGTGGGATCATTTGTAAGTTTTGGGGCCATTAATGTAACTTCCAAATAATTCAAATTATTCTTAGCCTGCTCTGAAGAAGCAGCTCTCAGTTAATAGTGGCTATTCCTATTGAAATCCATAAGGAGAAGGAAAAAAATGGGAGCTTCACCAGATTTGCCTGCAAAGGAAAAGAAAAAATTGAATTTTTCACCAGATTTGCCTGTAAAAACTCCACACAGAAAACCCCATGGGTTTATATGGGAATGTTCATTATAATTGTGAGATCATTTGTAAGTTTTGGGGCCATCAATGCAACTTCCAATTAGTTAATAAAAACTATTCCTACTGAAATCCCTAAGAAGAAAAATATAAAAAGGGATTTTCACCAGATTTGCCTGCAAGAACTCCACACAGAAAACCCCATGGGTTTACAAGTTGTCACTGGGAATATTCATTAGAATTGGGGAATCTTATATAAGATTGGGGGCCATTAATGCAACTTCCAATTAGTTAATAATGGTTATTCCTATTGAAAACCTTAAGGAGAAGGAAAATTTGGATTTTTACCAGATCTGACTGAAAAAATTCCACACAGAAAACCCCATTGGTTTGCATGGCAATGTTCATTAGAATTGTGGGATCATTTGCAAGTTTTGGGGCCATCAATGCAAACTTCCTATTAATTTGAATTATTCTCAGCCAGCTCAGAGTTAATCATGGCTATTCCTATTGAAAACCGTAAGGAGAAGGAAAAAAATTGAATTTTCACCAGATTTGCCTGCAAAAACTCCACACAGAAACTCCCATGGGTTTATATGGGAATGTTCATCAGAATTGTGGGATCATTTGCAAGTTTTGGGGCCATTAATGCAACTTCCAATTAATTCAAATTATTCTGAGCCAGCTCAGAATAGGCTATTTCAATAGGCTATTCCTATTGAAAACCTGAAGGAGAAAAAATTGAATTTTCATCAGATTTGCCTGAAAAATTCCACACAGAAATATGGGTTTATATGGGAATGTTCATTGTAACTGTGGAATCATTTCTAAGTTTTGGGGCCATCAATGCAAACTTCCTATTAATTCAAATTATTCTCAGCCAGTTCAGAGTTAATAGTGGCTATTCCTATTGAAAACCTTAAGGAGAAGGAAAAAATTGGGATCTTCACCAGATCTGCCTGCAAAGGATGAGAAAAAATTGAATTTTTCACCAGATTTGCCTGCAAAAACTCCACACAGAAACTCCCATGGGTTTATATGGGAATGTTCATTAGAATTGTGGGATCATTTGCAAGTTTTGGGGCCATCAATGCAAACTTCCTATTAATTCAAATTATTCTCAGCCAACTCAGAGTTAGTAATAGCTATTGCTATTGAAAACTGTAAGGAGAGGAAAAAATGGTATTTTCACCAGATTTGCCTGCAAAGGCGGAGAAAAAAGTTGAATTTTCACCAGATTTGCCTGCAAAAACTCCACAGAGAAATATGGGTTTATATGGGAATGTTCATTGTAATTGTGGGATCATTTGCAAGTTTTGGGGCCATCAATGCAAACTTCCTATTAATGCAAATTATTCTCAGCCAGCTCAGAGTTAATCATGGCTATTGCTATTGAAAACCCTAAGGAGAAGGAAAAAAATGGGATTTTCACCAGATTTGCCTGAAAAAAACTCCACATAGAAATATGGGTTTATATGGGAATGTTCATTAGAATTGTGGGATCATTTGCAAGTTTTGGGGCCATTGATGCAACTTCCAATTAATTCAAATTATTCTGAGCCAGCTCAGAATAGGCTATTTCAATAGGCTATTCCTATTGAAAACCTGAAGGAGAAAAAATTGAATTTTCATCAGATTTGCCTGAAAAACTCCACACAGAAATATGGGTTTATATGGGAATGTTCATTATAATTGTGGGATCATTTCTAAGTTTTGGGGCCATTCATGCAACTTCCAATCAATTCAAATTATTCTCAGCCAGCTCAGAGTTAATCATGGCTATTCTAACTGAAAACCTTAAGGAGAAGGAAAAAAATGGGATTTTCACCAGATCTGCCTGCAAAGGATAAGAAAAAATTGAATTTTTCATCAGATTTCCCTGCAAAAACTCCACACAGAAATATGGCTTTATATGGGAATGTTCATTGTAACTGTGGAATCATTTCTAAGTTTTGGGGCCATTAATGCAACTTCCTATTAATGCAAATTATTCTCAGCCAGCTCAGAGTTAGTAATAGCTATTGCTATTGAAAACTGTAAGGAGAAGGAAAAAAATTGAATTTTCACCAGATTTGCCTGCAAAACCTCCACACAGAAACTCCCATGGGTTTATATGGGAATGTTCATTGTAATTGTGGGATCATTTGTAAGTTTTGGGGCCATTGATACAACTTCCAATTAATTCAAATTATTCTCAGCCAGCTCAGAGTTAATAATAGCTATTCCTATTGAAAACCTTAAGGAGAAGGAAAAAAATGGGATCTTCACCAGATCTGCCTGCAAAGGATGAGAAAAAATTGAATTTTTCACCAGATTTGCCTGCAAAAACTCCACACAGAAAACCCATGGATTTATATGGGAATGTTCATTGTAATTGTGGGATCATTTGCAAGTTTTGGGGCCATTGATACAACTTCCAATCAATTCAAATTATTCTCAGCCAGCTCAGAGTTAATCATGGCTATTCCTATTGAAAACCTTAAGGAGAAGGAAAAAATTTGAATTTTCACCAGATTTGCTTGCAAAGAAGAAGAAATAACTGAATTTTCATCAGATTTGCCTGCAAAAATTCCACACAGAAAACCCCGTGGGTTTATATGGGAATGTTCATTATAATTGTGAGATCATTTGTAAGTTTTGGGGACATTAATGTAACTTCAAAATAATTCAAATTATTCTTAGCCTGCTCTGAAGAAGCAGCTCTCAGTTAATCATGGCTATTCCTATTGAAATCCATAAGGAGAAGGAAAAAAATGGGATCTTCACCAGATCTGCCTGCAAAGGATGAGAAAAAATTGAATTTTCACCAGATTTGCCTGCAAAAACTCCACACAGAGAACCCTATGTGTTTATATGGGAATGTTCATTAGAATTGTGGGATCATTTTAAGGTTTGGGGCCATCGATGCAACTTCCAATTAATTCAAATTATTCTCAGCCAGCTCAGAATAGGCTATTTCAATAGGCTATTCCTATTGAAAACCTGAAGGAGAAAAAATTGAATTTTCATCAGATTTGCCTGAAAAATTCCACACAGAAATATGGGTTTATATGGGAATGTTCATTGTAACTGTGGAATCATTTCTAAGTTTTGGGGCCATCAATGCAACTTCCTATTAATTTGAATTATTCCTAGCCAGCTCAGAGTTAATAATAGCTATTGCTATTGAAAACTGTAAGGAGAAGGAAAAAAATGGGATTTTCACCAGATTTGCTTGCAAAAGAGAAGAAAAAATTGAATTTTTCACCAGATTTGCCTGCAAAAACTCCACACAGAAAACCCTGTGGGTTTATATGGGAATGTTCATCAGAATTGTGGGATTATTTGCAAGTTTTGGGGCCATTAATTCCAATTCTTCTCATGCTGCTGTTAGAAGCAGCCCAGCCCTGCAGCTCCTGGAACCCACATGACTTCCTGTGCACCAGCCCCAGCATTTCCTGTTTTTCCACCCAGTTCTGCTTTTCCCTTCCTGGCCTTGCCACAGTTTTGCAAGAAGGTGAAATCAGCTCAAATGTGGGACCAAAACCCCTCCTGCCATGGGGCATTTATGGGGATTCAAATGGATTTATTCCCAGAATATTGGAAATGAATGGATTAAATTGAATTGTACATGATGAGATGTTGGTGTAGATAAAAGGGAGGGGAAATAAATCAAAAATCCTGATCCTTTGCAGGGCATAGTTGTAAAGCTACAGAACTCAAAAAATGAAAAATCCAACTCTTGGCACAAGGGGGTTTTGTGGAAAGTGGGATTTTATCAATTTTCCTGCATTTTAGGGCCACCTGGATGAGTAAAATCAGCATTTTCATGAGCACAGCACCAATGGTGAACACACCAACCCTGCTGACATTCCAAGGGAAGGGGAAAAATGCCCTAAAAATTCCCATTTCATCCCTTTCTCCCTTCTCCAGAGCCTTTCAGGAAGAAACTGAACAAAGGTTTCAAAAGGAAACAAAGCCTGAGAGCTGCCAAGAACAGGCAGGGAAATATTTGCTCTTTGCTGCTTTTGCATCATGGGAATAAAGAGAAATAATGATAAATATTGGCAACATTTGCAAGAGCATTTCGAGGGCAAACACCCAAAGTGGCTGCTCTTGGTTGTCCACACCAAAGAATTACAGGAATTTTTAAATTATTGGAAGAATTGATTTAAAATTAAAATTATCCATATTAAAATAGTTTATTTTTCTTGCAGGCTTGCTCCTCTTCTTCTTGGCCATTTGAAGCCCTAAAAGGACTTTTGGAGCAGAAAAAAAACCAACTAAAAAAATAGAATTAAAATGGGTTAGAGGGCTTTTTTTAAAAATTAGGCATCATTTGGCCTCTAATTCAAGTGGCTGATGCAAAATTGCACAAAATGAGGAGAAATGGGAAGAAGCTGAGCTCAGTTCTTACCATAACTCGATGGCTTTGGTGTAGGACATGATGGCAGAGCCCAGGGCTCCCTGGGAAAATTCTGTATTTCCTTTCTGCTTCATGGCTTCACTCTTCTGTGGGACCAGGAAAAAACCAATTTATGCACCAAATTCATTCAATTCAGCAGTGTAAAAGTCATCACTTCATCTAAGTGGGACAGGGAAAAAACAATTTGTGCACTAAACTCCTTAAATTCAGCTGTATAAAGATCATTATTTCATGCAAGTGGGACCAGAACAGAAAATTTATGCACTAAACTCATTAAATTCAGCAATGCAAAGATCATTATTTCATGTAAGTGGGATCAGAACAGAAAATTTATCCACCACATTTTATCCACCAAATTTTATCCACCAAATTTTGGCCACCACATTTTGGCCACCACATTTTGGCCACCACATTTTGGCCACCACATTTTGGCCACCACATTTTGGCCACCACATTTTGGCCACCACATTTTGGCCACCACATTTTGGCCACCACATTTTATCCACCACATTTTATCCACCACATTTTATCCACCACATTTTATCCACCACATTTTGTGTTCTGGCCCCACTTACATGAAATAATGCCCATTATTACACTGCTGAATTGAAGGAGTTCAGTGGATAAACTCCTTGAATGCAGCAGTGTAAAAGTCATTATTTCATGTAGTAAAGGGAATTTTTGATGTCAGAATTGAACACTCGAGCTTTTGAAATATTTCTCTTCAATAATTGGGTTTTTTAACAGTCAGAACCCCCCTAAAAATGCCCCAAACAAACCCTGAGAGTTTCTCTCACCTTCCTGGAGCTCTCACAGGTCCGAGCTCGGAGTTCTGCCACTAAATCATAATCCTCCAGTGCCACCTTGGTGATGTAACGTTTCCCTGGGGAGGAAATTCAGGGGAGCAAGGAGGGTGAAGAAATTCCCACTGAAAAAATTCCCACTAAAAAAATTCCCACTAAAAAAAATTCCCACTAAAAAAAAATTCCACTAAAAAAAAATCCCACTAAAAAAAATCCCACTAAAAAAATCCCACTAAAAAAAATCCCACTAAAAAAAATCCCACTAAAAAAAAATCCCACTAAAAAAAATCCCACTAAAAAAATTCCCACTAAAAAAAATTCCCACTAAAAAAATTCCACTAAAAAAAAAATCCCCACTAAAAAAAATCCCACAAAAAAAATTCCCGCTAAAAAAAATTCCCACTAAAAAAAAAATCCCACTAAAAAAAATCCCACTAAAAAAAAATTCCCACTAAAAAAATCCCACTAAAAAAAATTCCCACTAAAAAAAAAAATCCCACAAAAAAAAATCCCACTAAAAAAAATCCCACTAAAAAAAAATCCCACTAAAAAAAATCCCACTAAAAAAAAATTCCCACTAAAAAAAATTCCACTAAAAAAAATTCCCACAAAAAAAATCCCACAAAAAATCCCACTAAAAGAATTCCCGCTAAAAAAAATCCCACTAAAAAAAAATCCCACTAAAAAAAATCCCACAAAAAAATCCCACAAAAAAAAAATCCCACAAAAAAATCCCACTAAAAAAAAATTCCCACTAAAAAAAAATTCCCACTAAAAAAAATTCCCACTAAAAAAAAATTCCCACTAAAAAAAATTCCCACTAAAAAAAAATCCCACTAAAAAAAATCCCACTAAAAAAAATCCCACTAAAAAAATCCCACTAAAAGTCCTGCTCTGCTCCTGCCTGCTCCCAAAATCTGCAACAAATTCAGCAACAGGAGCAGCCCAAATCATCATCATTGTTATTATTATTATTATTGTTATTGCTATTGTTATTATTATATTACCATTATTATTATCATCACTATTATTATTGTCATTGTCATTATTATATTATAAATTATACCTAATTGCCATAATTACATAAAAATATATAAAAATTATATATAATATATAAATACATTATATATAAAATAAATATATAAATATAAATATAAATATTTATATATCCTACATAATATACAATATATAACATATTATATATTATATAATTTTTATAATCTACATTATATATATTGTATAAATGACAATATATAATAAATTCGATATGAATTATATATATGATATATATAATTACATAAAATTATAATAAGATTATAATTTTATATAAGTATATATATAATTATACAATTACATAAAAGGATAATAAAATTATACTTAATATATAATTATATAATTACATGAAAGTATAATAAAATTATATTTCTATATAATTATATATAATAATAGAATTACATGAAAGTATAATAAAATTATACTTTTATATAATTATATATAATAATAGAATTACATAGAATTATAATAAAATTATATTTTATATAATTATATATAATAATATAATTACATGAAAATATAATAAAATTATACTTTTATATAATTATATATAATAATATAATTACATAGAATTATAATAAAATTATATTTTTATATAATTATATACAATAATATAATTACATGAAAGTATAATAAAATTATACTTTTATATAATTATATATAATAATATAATTACATAGAATTATAATAAAATTATATTTTTATATAATTATATATAATAGTATATACAGTATATATACTATATATAATAGTATATACAATATATATACTATATACAATATATTATATATACAATATACAATATAGCATATACAATATATATACTATGTATATAATAGTATATACAATATATATACTATATATAATCACTATTATTGATATCTATTCTATAATTATATACAATTATAGAACATATATTGTAAATTATAATTATATATAATTGTAAAATATTATAGAATTATATATTATATAATATAGGCTATATATATATATATATATATATAAATTACATAGAATTATATATTATATATTAACATATGATAAAATATAATAATGCTAACGATAATTATAATGAGAATAAAAATAATTTCCTAGTGGAGAAAGTGGAGGGTTTGGAGGGAAATGCCCTTGGAAAAGTGGAGGATTGGGAGGGAAATGCCCTTGGAAAAGTGGAGGATTGGGAGGGAAATTCCCTTGGAAAAGTGGAGGATTGGGAGGGAAATGCCCTTGGAGAAGTGGAGGAATGGGAGGGAAATGCCCTTGGAAAAGTGGGGGATTGGGAGGGAAATGCCCTTGGAAAAGTGGAGGATTTGGAGGGAAACACTCTTGGAAAAGTGGAGGATTGGAAGGGAAATGCCCTTGGAGAAGTGGGAGGGTTTGGAGGGAAATGCCCTTGGAAAAGTGGAGGATTGGGAGGGAAATGCCCTTGGAGAAGTGGGAGGGTTTGCAGGGAAATGCCCTTGGAGAAGTGGGAGGGTTTGCAGGGAAATGCCCTTGGAAAAGTGGGAGGGTTTGGAGGGAAATGCCCTTGGAAAAGTGCAGGATTGGGAGGGAAATGCCCTTGGAAAAGTGGAGGATTGGGAGGGAAATGCCCTTGGAAAAGTGGAGGGTTTGGAGGGAAATGCCCTTGGAAAAGTGGAGGATTGGGAGGGAAATGCCCTTGGAAAAGTGGAGGGTTTGGAGGGAAATGCCCTTGGAAAAGTGGAGGGTTTGGAGGGAAATGCCCTTGGAAAAGTGGAGGATTGGGAGGGAAATGCCCTTGGAAAAGTGGAGGATTGGGAGGGAAATGCCCTTGGAAAAGTGGAGGGTTTGGAGGGAAATGCCCTTGGAAAAGTGGAGGATTGGGAGGGAAATGCCCTTGGAGAAGTGGGAAGGTTTGGAGGGAAACACTCTTGGAAAAGTGGGGGATTGGGAGGGAAATGCCCTTGGAAAAGTGGGAGGGTTTGGAGGGAAATGCCCTTGGAAAAGTGGAGGATTTGCAGGGAAATGCCCTTGGAAAAGTGGAGGATTGGGAGGGAAATGCCCTTGGAGAAGTGGAGGGTTTGGAGGGAAATGCCCTTGGAAAAGTGGAGGATTGGGAGGGAAATGGCCTTGGAAAAGTGGAGGAATGGGAGGGAAATGCCCTTGGAGAAGTGGAGGGTTTGGAGGGAAATGCCCTTGGAGCAGCGTGGGATGGCAATAAAAGCAGCCATGATTTCAGGATTTCCAGAAGAGAACAGTGATATTTTTCCCCCATTTTTGGCCCTCTGCAGGGTGCCCACTCACACTCAGAGAAGAACATGGCCAGGATGACCCTGCCAAAGTCGCCCATCTGCTCCAGGTCCTGCAGCATGCTGGAGTCCCCCACACACCTGACCCAGTCCAGCGCCTCTCCAAGGTGGAACTGGCCCTGGTGCAATTGGGGAAAAACCACAGAAAATCGAGGAAAAGTCATGAACTGGCCCAGCAAAGCCTTGGGGCTCTCCCCTCTGCCTCTGTTCAGCTGATTTTCAAATGGACAGCAATAAATAAATACAAATATTTGAATTATCCCCAGAGCTCCAGCACAGCACAGCCACAAAATCAGAGCGGACTTGCAACAGGAAGAATTCAAATGGTGGAATTTCATTTAGAAGCTTTTGAAATGATTGAAAAATAACAAAAAAACCCGAAAAAATTGCTTAGAAACATTCTTGTAATGACTGAAATTATTAAAAATAAAACCCCTGAAAATTTGATTTAGAAACTTTCTTGTGATGATTGATTGAACTTATTAAAGAAAATAATAAAAAACCCCCTCAAATTTGGTTTAGAAATTTCCCTTTCTCCCTTCTCCAGAGCCCAGAAATTCCTTGTGATTCCCATTCACTCCTTGTGATGACTGAAATTATTGAAACAATCTCCCAAACCATTCCAGAAACTCACATTTTCTATCCCAGTGCCAATCCTCAGGATGCCACTGATGAAATGGGGGATGTTCTGCAACAAGGATTAAAAAAAAAAACAAATTAAAAATCAGTTTTTGAGAGGAGATAATTGGAATTTCTCCCTGCTCAGGTGCAGCTCAGTGACATTTCCTGTTCTGCTGGAATCCACCATCCCTGGGGCAGCTGCATTCCTGATTTTTGTTGAGAAATAAATGAGCAGAGAGGATTCCTGTGAGATCTGCTGAGGAAATTCTGCCTCTTGGAGCCCTTGTGCAGCTCCCAAAACCCCAAAGAACCCCAAAGCTGAGACACCCCAAAATCTGCTCCTCCACATCTCCTCTACTCTTGGATCTACAACCCAGAAAACGAAGAGAAATTCAATAAGAAATGTGTTATAGCTATATTTATAACATAAAATACACCTGAATTTATAAAATAAAATACACCTGAATTCATAAAATAAAATACACCTAAATTCATAAAATAAAATACACGTAAATCTATAAAATAAAATACACCTAAATTCATAAAATAAAATAAAATACACCTATATTTATAAAATAAAATACACCTATATTTATAAAATAAAATGTGCCTAAATTTATAAAATAAAATACACCTAAATTCATAAAATAAAATACACCTGAATTTATAAAATAAAATACACCTAAATCTATAAAATAAAATACACCTAAACTTATAAAATAAAATAAACCTAAATTTATAAAATAAAGTACATGTAAATTTATAAAATAAAGTACACCTAAATTCATAAAATAAAATACACCTAAATTCATAAAATAAAATAAAATACACCTAAATTTATAAAATAAAATACACCTGAACTCATAAAATAAAATACACCTGAATTTATAAAATAAAATACACCTAAATTTATAAAATAAAATGCACCTAAATTTATAAAATAAAATGCACCTAAATTTATAAAATAAAATGCGCCTAAATTCATAAAATAAAATACATCTAAATTCATAAAATAAAATACATCTAAATTCATAAAATAAAATACACCTAAATTCATAAAATAAAAAATACACCTAAATTTATAAAATAAAATACACCTAAATCTATAAAATAAAATACACCAAATTTATAAAATAAAATACGTAGCTTGGGGTTGGACACAGAATTTCAAGAAATAAAGTAAGAAATGTTTTATTACCGAAATTAAAAATAAAACCCACAACAAATGGAACAAATTCCTCACGTCCTCCTCTCCATTATTCTGTTTCTAAGTCAGCAAAAGTAAATTTAAAATATTGTTTGTTGAAATAAGGGAAAAAAAATTATTTAAGTCATTCATCCACCAACTTCATTTCTGACTGCAAATATTTCCTAAATGATCCCATCTGGAATAAAGCCACAATTTCCTAATTATCAAATAATTGATAATTATGTCTTCACTTCAGCAAAAGGAAATGTCTAATTCAGGATTAGATGATGCTTAAGGGACAGATTTAATTAATTGTAATTAATTTAAAATTAATTTTGAAAAAAAAAAAATTAATCTTTAATTAAATTTGAAAATTTCGAAATTTGAAATTTAAAATCCAGGACTTACAACAACTTTTTTAATTAAATCAGCAAGGTCTTCCATAACATTGAACTCATAAACTTTCTTCATGTTCCAGTCCAGGAACATCAAACTGTTGGAAAACAGAAGGAATTATTATTTAACAGAAGGAATTGTTATTTAGACAAACACCAAGCTGTGACAGGCTCTGAATTATGAATATTTAGAGGGATTAGATCTGAAAATGGTTAAAAATTCACGTCCAGCCCCTTCAGAGGAGGAAGGAGAAAAATAATAATCATTAAAAGAAGAAGAGATGGAAAATTTTGCTGCTTTTGAAATGTCAGCATCGACAAAAATACTGAAATACTCCCCAAATTTCAGCTTCCCAGACTCCCAAAGATTCCAAAACTCCAAAATCCCCAAAGGTTCCAAAACTCCGGAATCCCCAAAGGTTCCAAACTCCAAAGTCCCCAAAGGTTCCCAAACTCCAAAGTCCCCAAAGGTTCCCAAACTCCAAAGTCCCAAAGGTTCCAAAACTCCAGGATTCCCAATGGTTCCCAAACTCCAGGATCCCCAATGGTTCCAAAACTCAAAATCCCCAAAGGTCCCAAACTCAAAAATCCCCAAAGGTTCCAAACTCCAAAGTCCCAAAGGTCCCAAACTCCAGATCCCCAAAGGTTCCAAAACTCCAGGATCCCCAAAGATCCCAAACTCCAAAGTCCCAAAGGTCCCAAACTCCAGGATCCCCAAACAAAGATCTCAAACTCCAAAGTCCCAAGGGTTCCAAAACTCCAGGATCCCCAAAGGTCCCAAACTCCGGAATCCCCAAAGGTTCCCAAAACTCAAAAATCCCCAAAGGTCCCAAAACTCAAAAATCCCCAAACAAAGATCTCAAACTCCAAAGTCCCAAGGGTTCCCAAAACTCCAAAATCCCCAAAGGTTCCAAACTCCAAAGTCCCAAAGATCCCAAACTCCAGGATCCCCAAAGATCCCAAACTCAAAAATCCCCAATGGTTCCCAAACTCAAAAATCCCCAATGGTTCCCAAACTCAAAAATCCCCAATGGTTCCCAAACTCAAAAATCCCCAATGGTTCCCAAACTCAAAAATCCCCAAAGGTTCCCACCTCAAAAATCCCCAAAGGTTCCCAAACCTCAAAAATCCCCAAAGGTTCCCAAACCTCAAAAATCCCCAAAGGTTCCCAAACCTCAAAAATCCCCAAAGGTTCCCAAACCTCAAAAATCCCAAAGATCCCATACTCCAAAGTCCCAAAGGTTCCAAACTCCAAAGTCCCAAACTCCAGGATCCCCAATGGTTCCCAAACTCCACGATCCCCAATGGTTCCAAAACTCAAAATCCCCAAAGGTCCCAAAACTCAAAAATCCCCAAAGATCCCAAACTCCAGGATCCCCAAACAAAGATCTCAAACTCCAAAGTCCCAAGGGTTCCAAACTCCAGGATCCCCAGAGGTTCCAAAACTCCGGGATCCCCAAAGGTCCCAAACTCCAGGATCCCCAAAGGTTTCAAACTCCAGGATCCCCAAAGATCCCAAACTCCAAGATCCCCAAAGATCCCAAACTCCAGGATCCCCAAAGATCCCAAACTCCAGGATCCCCAAAGATCCCAAACTCCAGGATCCCCAAAGATCCCAAACTCCAGGATCCCCAAAGATCCCAAAACTCAAAAATCCCCAAAGGTTCCAAACCCCAAAATCCCCAAAGGTTCCCAAAACTCCAAAATCCCCAAAGGTCCCAAACTCCAAAGTCCCAAAGGTCCCAAACTCCAAAGTCCCAAAGGTCCCAAAACTCAAAAATCCCCAAAGGTCCCAAACTCCAGGATCCCAAAGGTCCCGAACTCCAAAGTCCCCAAAGTTCCAAAATCCCAAGGATTCCAAACTCCAAAATCCCCAAGATCCCAAACTCCAAAGTCCCAAAGATCCCAAACTCCAGGATCCAAAGGTCCCAAACTCCAAAGTCCCAAAGATCCCAAAACTCCAGGATCCCAGAGATTCCAAACTCCAAAATGCCCAAAGTTCCAAAATCCCCAAGACTGCAAACTCCAAAATCCCAAAGATTGCAAAATCCCCAAGTTTCCAAACTTCAGAAAATCCATCTTAATTTTTTAATTTTTTTTCCTGTGGATTCAAGAACTTCTGACCTCAACCAAGTCCAACATTTCTGCACCAGTTGGAGCCTCACTGGAAGCACCCATGGAATTTTCCCAGGAACAAGGAAAAGTGGGAGGATTGGGAGGGAAACGCCCTTGGAAAAGTGGGAGGGTTTGGAGGGAAATGCCCTTGGAAAAGTGGAGGATTGGGAGGGAAATGCCCTTGGAGAAGTGCAGGATTTGCAGGGAAATGCCCTTGGAAAAGTGGAGGATTGGGAGGGAAATGCCCTTGGAAAAGTGGAGGGTTTGGAGGGAAATGCCCTTGGAAAAGTGGAGGGTTTGGAGGGAAATGCCCTTGGAAAAGTGGAGGATTGGGAGGGAAATGCCCTTGGAAAAGTGGAGGATTTGCAGGGAAATGGCCTTGGAAAAGTGCAGGATTTGCAGGGAAATGCCCTTGGAAAAGTGCAGGATTTGCAGGGAAATGCCCTTGGAAAAGTGCAGGATTTGCAGGGAAATGCCCTCAGGAATTGTGCAGGATTTGCAGGGAAATGCCCTTGGAGAAGTGCAGGATTTGCAGGGAAATGCCCTTGGAAAAGTGCAGGATTTGCAGGGAAATGCCCTCAGGAATTGTGGAGGATTTGCAGGGAAATGCCCTTGGAGAAGTGGAGGATTTGCAGGGAAATGCCCTTGGAAAAGTGGAGGATTTGCAGGGAAATGCCCTTGGAAAAGTGCAGGATTTGCAGGGAAATGCCCTCAGGAATTGTGCAGGATTTGCAGGGAAATGCCCTTGGAGAAGTGGAGGATTTGCAGGGAAATGCCCTTGGAAAAGTGGAGGATTGGGAGGGAAATGCCCTTGGAGAAGTGCAGGATTTGCAGGGAAATGCCCTCAGGAATTCTGGAGGATTTGCAGGGAAATGCCCTTGGAAAAGTGCAGGATTTGCAGGGAAATGCCCTTGGAAAAGTGCAGGATTTGCAGGGAAATGCCCTTGGAGAAGTGCAGGATTTGCAGGGCAATGCCCTTGGAAAAGTGGGAAGGTTTGCAGGGCAATGCCCTCAGGAATTGTGGAGGGTTTGCAGGGCAATGCCCTTGGAAAAGTGCAGGATTTGCAGGGAAATGCCCTCAGGAATTGTGGGAAGGTTTGCAGGGCAATGCCCTCAGGAATTGGGGATTCTCACCAGAAGGTGTCCACAAAGGAAGTGCTTTCCCTGGTGAAGAGAGCACACCAGAAAATCCTGATTTTGATCACGTTGCAAATTTCCCTCAATTTTTCCACGGGTTTGCTGCACCACACCTCACAGGGATCCACTCCTGGGAGGGCAAAATAAAACAAATGGGAATTCCTGGGGGAATTCAGGCAGTCCAAAGGGCCAGAAAATACCAAAATCAATCATTATTACAGGCATTATGAATTACCAATTAATATTAAAATAAAGGATGAATTCAGGTATTCCAAGGTGCCAATAAATATTAAAATAAAGGATGAATTCAGGCATTCCAAAGTGCCAGTAAATACCAAAATCCATCATTATTTCAGGCATTCCAAAGTGCCAGTAAATACCAAAATCAATCATTATTACAGGCATTATGAATTACCAATTAATATTAAAATAAAGGGTGAATTCAGGCATTCCAAGGTGCCAATAAATACCAAAATCAATCATTATTTCAGGCATTATAAATTGCCAATAAATACTAAAATAAAGGATGAATTCAGGCATTCCAAAGTGCCATTAAACATTAAAATCAATCATTATTTCATGAATTTCCAAGGTACCAATAAATACCAAAATCAATCATTATTTCAGGCATTATAAATACCAAATAAATAAATAAATAAAATTTAATATATTGGTATATAAATACCAATAAATATTAAAATAAAGGATGAATTCAGGCATTCCAAAGTGCCAATAAACATTAAAATCAATCATTATTTCAGGCATTATAAATACCAAATAAATACCAATAAATATTAAAGTAATTAATTAATTAATATATTTAATAGAATTTAATATATTGGTATATAAATACCAATAAATAATAAAATAAAGGATGAATTCAGGCATTCCAAAGTGCCAATAAATACCAAAATCAATCATTATTTCAGGCATTATAAATACCAAAAAAATACCAATAAATATTTAAATAAATAAATAAATAAATAAATTATAAATCTATTTCATAGAATTTAATATATTGGTATATAAATAACAATAAATAATAAAATAATGGATTAATTCAGGCATTCCAAAGTACCAGTAAATACCAAAATCCATCATTATTTCAGGCATTCCAAAGTACCAATAAATAATAAAATAAAGGATGAATTCAGGCATTCCAAGGTGCCAATAAACACTAAAACAAAGGATGAATTCAGGAATTCCAAAGTACCAATAAAATATTAAAATAAATCATTATTTCAGGCATTATAAATACCAATACCAATAAATATTAAAAATAAATAAATAAATAAATAAATAAATAAATATAATAATAATTAAATTTATATATAATAAAATTTACATATATTGGTATATAAATACTGATAAATATTAAAATAAAGGGTGAATTCAGGCATTCCAAAGTGCCAATAAACATTAAAATCAATCATGATTTCAGTCATTATAAATTACCAATAAATATTAAAATAAATCATTATTTCAGGCATTATAAAGTACCAATAATTTTAAAATCAACCATTATTTCAGGAATTCAAAGGACCAATAAATATTAAAATAAAGGATGAATTCAGGCATTCCAAAGTGCCCAAAAAGCATTAAAATGAATAATTATTTCAGGCATTCCAAAGTACCAAAAAATATTAAAATCAAATATTATTTCAGGCATTATAAATACCAAATAAATACCAATAAATATTAAAATAAATATAAATAAAATAAATAAATATAATAATAAATATATATAATAAAATTTACATATATTGGTAGATAAAAATGGAGAAATGCAGATAAAAGTGGAGAAATTCAGATACAAATGGAGAAATTCAGATACAAATGGAGAAATTCAGGTAAAAGTGGAGAAATTCAGATAAAAGTGGAGAAATTCAGATAAAAGTGGAGAAATTCAGGTAAAAGTGGAGAAATTCAGATAAAAGTGGAGAAATTCAGGTAAAAGTGGAGAAATTCAGATAAAAATGGAGAAATTCAGATACAAATGGAGAAATTCAGGTAAAAGTGGAGAAATTCAGGTAAAAGTGGAGAAATTGAGATAAAAATGGAGAAATTCAGATACAAATGGAGAAATTGAGATAAAAGTGAAGAAATTCAGATAAAAATGGAAAAATTCAGATAAAAGTGGAGAAATTCAGATAAAAGTGGAGAAATTCAGATAAAAGTGGAGAAATTCAGACACAAATGGAGAAATTCAGACACAAATGGAGAAATTCAGACACAAATGGAGAAATTCAGACACAAATGGAGAAATTCAGACACAAATGGAGAAATTCAGACACAAATGGAGAAATTGAGATAAAAATGGAGAAATTCAGATACAAATGGAGAAATTCAGATAAAAATGGAGAAATTCAGGTAAAAATGGAGAAATTCAGATAAAAGTGGAGAAATTCAGATACAAATGGAGAAATTCAGGTAAAAATGGAGAAATTCAGATACAAATGGAGAAATTCAGATACAAATGGAGAAATTCAGATAGAAATGGAGAAATTCAGATACAAATGGAGAAATTCAGATAAAAGTGGAGAAATTCAGATAGAAATGGAGAAATTCAGATAAAAATGGAGAAATTCAAATAAAAATGGAGAAATTCAGATAAAAGTGGAGAAATTCAGATACAAATGGAGAAATTCAGACACAAATGGAGAAATTCAGACACAAATGGAGAAATTCAGACACAAATGGAGAAATTCAGACACAAATGGAGAAATTCAGATACAAATGGAGAAATTCAGACACAAATGGAGAAATTCAGACACAAATGGAGAAATTCAGATACAAATGGAGAAATTGAGATAAAAATGGAGAAATTCAGACACAAATGGAGAAATTCAGATACAAATGGAGAAATTCAGATAAAAATGGAGAAATTCAGGTAAAAATGGAGAAATTCAGACACAAATGGAGAAATTCAGATACAAATGGAGAAATTCAGACACAAATGGAGAAATTCAGATACAAATGGAGAAATTCAGATACAAATGGAGAAATTCAGATAGAAATGGAGAAATTCAGATACAAATGGAGAAATTCAGATAAAAGTGGAGAAATTCAGATAGAAATGGAGAAATTCAGATAAAAATGGAGAAATTCAAATAAAAATGGAGAAATTCAGATAAAAGTGGAGAAATTCAGATACAAATGGAGAAATTCAGACACAAATGGAGAAATTCAGACACAAATGGAGAAATTCAGACACAAATGGAGAAATTCAGACACAAATGGAGAAATTCAGACACAAATGGAGAAATTCAGACACAAATGGAGAAATTCAGATACAAATGGAGAAATTCAGATACAAATGGAGAAATTCAGATACAAATGGAGGAATTCAGATACAAATGGAGGAATTCAGATACAAATGGAGAAATTCAGACACAAATGGAGAAATTCAGACACAAATTGAGAAATTCAGATACAAATGGAGAAATTCAGATAGAAATGGAGAAATTCAGATAGAAATGGAGAAATTCAGATAGAAATGGAGAAATTCAGATAGAAATGGAGGAATTCAGACACAAATTGAGAAATTGAGATAAAAATGGAGAAATTCAGATAGAAATGGAGAAATTCAGGTAAAAATGGAAATTCAGGTAAAAAACCAGGAAAAAAAAACAGGAAAAAAAACCAGGAAAAAAAACAGGAAAAAAAAACAGGAAGAAAAAAACAGGAAGAAAAAAACAGGAAGAAAAAAACAGGAAAAAAAAAAACAGGAAAACAAACAGAAAAAAAAAAGGAAAAAAAAAAAGGAAAAAACCACAGGAAAAAAAAACCAAGGAAAAAAAACATGAAAAAAAAACAGGAAAAAAAACCAGGAAAAAAAAACCAGGAAAAAAAAAACAGGAAAAAAAAAAAAAACAGGAAAAAAAAAAACCAGGAAAAAGAAAAAAAAAACCAAGGAAAAAAAAAACCAAGGAAAAAAACAGGAAAAAAATAGGAAAAAAAAAAAAACGGGAAAAAAACAACAAGAAAAAAAACAACAGGAAAAAAAAACAACAGGAAAAAAAAACAACAGGAAAAAAAAACAACAGGAAAAAAAAACAACAGGAAAAAAAAACAACAGGAAAAAAAAACAACAGGAAAAAAAAAACAACAGGAAAAAAAAAACAGGAAAAAAAACAACAGGAAAAAAACAACAGGAAAAAAACCAAGGAAAAAAAACCAAGGAAAAAAAAAAAAAAAAACAGGAAAAAAAACCAGGAAAAAACCAGGGAAAACAAAACGGGGAAAACAAAACAGGAAAAAAAAAAAAAACAAACAGGAAAAAAAAAAACAGGAAAAAAACCAGGAAAAAAAAACAACAGGAAAAAATCCAAGGAAAAAAACCAAGGAAAAAAAAACAAGGAAAAAAAAAAAAAAAAAGGAAAAAAAAAAACCAAGAAAAAAAAAAAAACAAGGAAAAAAAAGCAGGAAAAAAGCAAGAAAAAAACAGGAAAAAAAAACAGGAAAAAAAACAGGAAAAAAAAACAGGAAAAAAAACAGGAAAAAAAACAGGAAAAAAAACAGGAAAAAAAAACAGGAAAAAAAAACAGGAAAAAAAAACAGGAAAAAAAACAGGAAAAAAAACAGGAAAAAAAACAGGAAAAAAAAACAGGAAAAAAAAACAGGAAAAAAAACAGGAAAAAAAAACAGGAAAAAAAACAGGAAAAAAAACAGGAAAAAAAAACAGGAAAAAGAGAGGGGAAAAGATTCAGGAGAAGAAAGAGGAAAAAGGACAGGGGGAAAACAAACCAGGGGGAAAGGGAAAATAAACAGGGAAACGGACAGGGATAAAAAACCAGGGATAACAGACGGGAAAAAGATGGGAAAAGGAGACAGAAAAATAGGGAGAAAGGGCAGGAAAAGGGCAGGGAAAAGACAGGAAAAAATGGGGAAAAAGAAGGAAAAACCAGGGGAAAAGAGAGGAAAAAACCAGGGAAAAAGAGAGGAAAAAACCAGGGAAAAAGAGAGGAAAAAACCAGGGAAAAAGAGAGGAAAAAAACAGGGAAAAAGAGAGGAAAAAACCAGGGAAAAAGAGAGGAAAAAACCAGGGAAAAAGAGAGGAAAAAACCAGGGAAAAAGAGAGGAAAAAACCAGGGAAAAAGACAAGGCAGGGAAAAGAGAGGGGGGAAAAAGGTGAGAGAGGGGGAAAAAGACATGGGGGGAAAACTCACAAAAAATACACAAAAAAATTACTCAAAATAAAATTACGCAAAAAAATTACGCAAAAAAAAAATACACCAAAAAAACCACCCAAAACACACAAAAAAACCCCACACCAAAAAAAAAAAAACCCCACAAAAATACACAAAAAATACATAAAAAAACCACACCCAAAAATTTCCCTTCCCCAGCTGTTGATCTGCTTATTCCCACAAATTAGGGGGTGGTGCAGAAAATCAAATTTCGAATTTGAGCCATCTGTTTTTCTGCAACTGGGAATTTTTGGTGAATTGTTACTGCAAAACATTCCCTGCAAAAAAAAACCCCAAAAAATGGAAATTGTTTTTAGACCTACACAGCTAAAACCACCAGCCTTGCATCTCCACCCTCTCAGCATTCATTGCCTGCATTTCTGTAAATATTACTGAATATTTAATGTACAGCAGGAGAAACAGATGAGAATTGTTCCAGGGTAAGAGAATATAACAATGCTTCTGCTAAAAAATAATAATGAACCAATTTTCAGGCAAAATAAGGAAAAATAAAATTAAATAGCAATCCAAAGATCCAAGAAATGAAGAATATTGGTTTTGTTTCCATACCTGTTTTAGGATTAGGTGGCACTGTTTGTCCAAAGCTTCCATGATCCTAAAGATAAACACATTATTTACATATTTATATATAAATATTTATATATTTACCATTTGTTACATTGCACAGCCAATAGCAAACAAAGCCAGGAGCAAAGAAAGCATTTTGTTTGGAGGAAAAAAGAATATTTACCTGCATCCCCATTAAAAAAATGGCCACAGGTTAATGGTTATGAATGGACAGGAAAAGCTTTACTCATTTAAACAATATTTTCAGTCACACCAGAAGAAGATTCTAGGAATTCATAATTCAAAAAATCAGGCAGCAAAATCATGTTAGAGAGGACCTAACTAAACTCAGAGTTTTAAGAAGGTAACACAGGTTTTTAAAAAAAAATCAAAAATAATAATTACATTTTGAATGTGTATTTAAATAAAACCATCTAGAGGAAAATAAAGGGAGTTAATTTAGTATTTCATGTTACTTTTAAGGAGTTTAACCCCATTTGAGCACTTCAAGCTGAAAAAGAAATTATTTATTCCTATTGATAGATCCCTACAAAGTCTGTAATTTTAGCAAACATCCTAAATGAGTGATTTAATGAATGAATGGATCACAGGAAATGCTGCACTATCATTTCACAGAAATGCAGAAATGATAAAATTCATGGATTTAACAGGCCAGGACACACAATAACAAAGAGGAGAAAAAAAAATCAACTGTGATTTAAAAATCAGCTCATCTTGAAAGACAACTGAGAGCTCTTAAAGATTTTGCTTTGGCAGCAGCAAGCACCCAAAAAATTTTTCACTGGTGGAAATAAATTCTGAATGGAATCACAGGCATTAAAAATCCACATCAAACCCTTCAGAGGAGGAAGGAGAAAAATAATGATAATTAAAAGAGCTGAAATGCCAGGAAATAAAAGTTGGAACCCACAGGCCAAGAGCTGAAATCCCAGGAACCCGGAGCTGAAATCCCACAGGGAATGAGCTGAAATCCCAGGAACCCAAAGGGGAAATTCCAGGGGCCAAGAGCTGAAATTCCACAGGGCAAGAGTTGAAATCCCAGGACCCCAGAATTGGAATCCCAGGAACCAAGAGCTGAAATCCCAGGAGCCCAGATCTGAAATACCACAGGGCAAGAGCTGAAATCCCAGGAACCTAGACCTGAAATCCTACAGGCCAAGAGCTCAAATCCCACAGGGCCCAAGAGCTCAAATCCCACAGGGCCCAAGAGCTCAAATCCCACAGGGCCCAAGAGCTCAAATCCCACAGGGCCCAAGAGCTCAAATCCCTGGAACCCAAAGATGAAATCCCAGGATCTCAGAGCTCAAATCCCAGGAAACAACAGCTCAAATCCCAGGAACCCAAAGGGGAAATCCCAGGGAATAGGAGCTGAAATCCCACAGGCCAAGAACTGAAATCCCACGGGCCAAGAGCTGAAACCCCACAGGGGCCAAGAGCTGAAACCCCACAGGGCCCCAGAGCTGAAACCCCACAGGGCCCCAGAGCTCAAATCCCACAGGGGCCAAGAGCTGAAACCCCACAGGGGCCAAGAGCTCAAACCCCACAGGGCCCCAGAGCTCAAACCCCACAGGGCCCCAGAGCTCAAATCCCACAGGGCCCCAGAGCTCAAATCCCACAGGGCCCCAGAGCTCAAATCCCACAGGGCCCCAGAGCTCAAATCCCACAGGGCCCAAGAGCTCAAATCCCACAGGGCCCCAGAGCTCAAATCCCACAGGGCCCCAGAGCTGAAACCCCACAGGGCCCCAGAGCTCAAACCCCACAGGGCCCCAGAGCTCAAATCCCACAGGGGCCAAGAGCTGAAACCCCACAGGGCCCCAGAGCTCAAATCCCACAGGGCCCCAGAGCTCAAATCCCACAGGGCCCCAGAGCTCAAATCCCACAGGGCCCCAGAGCTCAAATCCCACAGGGCCCAAGAGCTGAAACCCCACAGGGCCCCAGAGCTCAAATCCCACAGGGCCCCAGAGCTGAAACCCCACAGGGGCCAAGAGCTCAAACCCCACAGGGCCAAGAGCTCAAATCCCACAGGGCCAAGAGCTCAAATCCCACAGGGCCCCAGAGCTCAAATCCCACAGGGCCAAGAGCTCAAATCCCACAGGGCCCCAGAGCTCAAATCCCACAGGGCCCCAGAGCTCAAATCCCACAGGGCCCAAGAGCTCAAATCCCACAGGGCCCCAGAGCTCAAATCCCACAGGGCCCCAGAGCTCAAATCCCACAGGGCCCCAGAGCTCAAACCCCACAGGGCCAAGAGCTCAAATCCCACAGGGCCAAGAGCTCAAATCCCACAGGGCCCCAGAGCTCAAATCCCACAGGGCCCCAGAGCTCAAATCCCACAGGGCCCCAGAGCTCAAATCCCACAGGGCCCCAGAGCTCAAATCCCACAGGGCCCCAGAGCTCAAATCCCACAGGGCCCCAGAGCTCAAATCCCACAGGGCCCCAGAGCTCAAATCCCACAGGGCCCCAGAGCTCAAATCCCACAGGGCCCCAGAGCTCAAATCCCACAGGGCCCCAGAGCTCAAATCCCACAGGGCCCCAGAGCTCAAATCCCACAGGGCCCCAGAGCTCAAATCCCACAGGGCCCCAGAGCTCAAATCCCACAGGGCCCCAGAGCTCAAATCCCACAGGGCCCCAGAGCTCAAATCCCACAGGGCCCCAGAGCTCAAATCCCACAGGGCCCCAGAGCTCAAATCCCACAGGGCCCCAGAGCTCAAATCCCACAGGGCCCCAGAGCTCAAATCCCACAGGGCCCCAGAGCTCAAATCCCACAGGGCCCCAGAGCTCAAATCCCACAGGGCCCCAGAGCTCAAATCCCACAGGGCCCCAGAGCTGAAACCCCAGGAACCCAGAGCTGAAACCCCAGGGCCCCAGAGCTCAAATCCCAGGGGCCAAGAGCTGAAATCCCACAGGGCCCCAGAGCTCAAATCCCACAGGGCCCCAGAGCTCAAATCCCACAGGGCCCCAGAGCTCAAATCCCACAGGGCCCCAGAGCTCAAATCCCACAGGGCCCCAGAGCTCAAATCCCACAGGGCCCCAGAGCTGAAACCCCAGGAACCCAGAGCTGAAACCCCAGGAACCCAGAGCTGAAATCCCAGGAACCCAGAGCTGAATTCCCAGGGCCCCAGAGCTGAAATCCCTGCAGGGACAGGCACTGAGTGTCAGGCTGAGCTGCAGCAGCCCGGGAATGGCCACAGGACCAACAGGTTGGGCAGGTTGTGTGACAGGAGCTGCACTCAGCAATGTCCCCCTGCTGCTGGCACGGGACCAGGCTCTGGCTCTGCCCCAATTTTGGGGTTTTTGTAAGGGAATCGTGGCCAGACAGCAGCTTGAGTTCATCAGCACTGGGAGTGACTCTGGAGATCTGATCAGAGAATCCCAGAATGATTTTGATTGGAAGGGAATTTAAATATAATCCCATCCCTGCCATGGCAGGGACAGCTCCCACTGTGCCAGGCTGCTCCATCCCCAATATCCAACCCGGCCTTGGACATTCCAGGGATCCAGGGGCAGCCCCAGGTGCTCTGGGCACCCTGTGCCAGGGCCTGATCTGGGTAAAACCCCCCTGGAACATCCTGCAAGTTTCCTGTCACTACAGGACACAAAATAACTTGCTGCTCTTTTCAAGGTAAACAAGGACTTTTTAATTTTTGACTCCAACATTTACAGATTTCCAAAAGTGGCAGAGGATTGGAGGGTGACAGTGCCACCTCTCCACTGACACTGGACAAAACAAATTTCTCCTCCTCCATTAAAGAATGCCAAACAATGAGTTATTTGCCTAAAGCGTGTGAGAAAGTTCCTTACAAGAATGTAAACATCAGAAGGCTTAGGAAAACTTCAAAAATCAGGGTTACAGCTTCCCATCGAGCTCCAACCCCACTTACCAGCTGAAAATAGGTTGGATCACCAGCAAAGAGAGCCAAGGCTGAAACGAGGTCGGACTTGGAGAGAGGATCAGCCATGGCACATCACCCTGAGAGAAAAGGAGGGTGAGAAACACCAGAAACACAAAAACCAGCAGCTGCCAACGCTTCCAAGGATCTCACTGCTAAACTTCACTTGGCTGGGTTTTGGAAAACTGTGCAGCAGTTCGGCAGAGCTTAATGCTGAGCACAGCCAGCCTAAGCCCGGCTGGAAGCTTGGGACAGAGACTAACTCTGATCGGCACGGCAACAGAGCTGAATGAAGCACGTTATCCCTGCCGGGACAATGGGAGCAGCAGCCCGGGAATCACGGCAGCATCCCGGGAATCCCGGCTGCACCTCGGGAATCACAGCCGAACCCCCGGGAATCGTGGCTGAATCCCAGGAACTGCAGCTGCACTCCGGCTGCACCCCGGGAATCGCGGCTGCATCCCGGGAATCAGGGCTGAACCCTGGGAATTACGGCTACACCCCGGGAATCACGGCTGAACCCCCAGGAATCCCGGCTGCATCCCGGGAATCACCACGGCTGAACCCTGGGAATCACGGCTACACCCCGGGAATCACGGCTACATCCCGGGAATCACGGCTACATCCCGGGAATCACGGCTACATTCCGGCTACACCCCGGGAATCGCGGCTGAACCCCCCGGGAATCACAGCGGCAGCCCCACAATCACAGCTCCATCCCGGGAATCGCGGCTGCACCCCGGGAATCGCGGCTGCACCCCGGGAATCGCGGCTGCACCCCGGGAATCGCGGCTGCACCTCGGGAATCGCGGCTGTATGCCCGGGAATCGTGGCTGTATGCCCGGGAATCGCAGCTGAAACGTGGGAATCACGGCGACCCCCCGCCCAGGAATCACGGATGCACCCCGGGAATCGCGGCTGCACCCCCCGGGAATCGCGGCTGCACCCCCCGGGAATCGCGGCTGCACCCCGGGATGCCGAACACTCCGCCCCGTCCCGGCAGCTCCCAGGCTCCCCCCCCGCCATCCATCCGATCCCGGAACGGCCCGGGCCGGCCGCTCACGTGCCTTATCCCGCCAGCACGGACTGCCAGAGCCCGGGGAGGCGCACGGCACCGCGCTCCGCCCCGGGCGGGCCGGGAGCACCCGTCACGGTACCGGGCACAGACCGGGCAGCGAGCGGCGGCTCCGGGCCGGGCAAGGCGCGGGGGAAGGCGGCCGAGCAGCCACCGCTCCCTCCCTCCCTCCCTCCCTCCTTCCCTCCTTCCCTCCATTCCTGCATTCATCCCCGCATGGCGCACGCACCGCTCCAGCTCACGGCTCCGATCCCGATCCGCCGCCGCTCCCGCTCCCGCCGCCCCAGCACGCCCCGCCCACCGGATGCACCGCCCATTGGTCGCCCGCCCTCTGACGTCACGGGCAGCGGCCAATCCGCGGGCCGTGCGCCTGCGCGCGTGGCCGGATGCGGGCGGCGCGGAGGCGGGAGCGGGGGGTAGGGAGAGCCTTCCTCCCTTCCTTCCTTCCTTCCTCCCTTCCTCCTCCTCCTCCTCCTGCTGCTGTCCCAGAGCGGGAAGGAGGGAGGGGTGCGGCCCCCGCAGCCGGGGGTCCCCCCGAGGAGCTGCCCAGGAAATCTCCGCCCTCTCCGCGAAGTTAAAGGGAACAGCCCGGGATGGTTGAGAACTCTCCGGCCCCGCTGCCAGAAAGGGCAATTTATGGATTTGCGCTTTTTTTGGGCTCGTGGTTTGGCTTCAGTGAGTATCCCACAGCCGGATCCGTCATCCCGCGCTGCTGCTTTGCTGCGTTCACGTTTTATTCCGTTTTTGCCCCGAATCGCGCACGTTTTCACATTCACCAAGCCCTGGAGGTTGTTGTGGTGTTACTTTGGGATGGTCTGGACAATGCTTTAGAGAACAGCCAAAGTTGATCTGCTTAACTCAAGGGAAATCATGGAATGGTTTGGGTTGGAAGGGACCTTAAAGTTCATCCCATGGCAGGGACACCTCCCACTGTCCCAGGCTGCTCCAATGTCCCCAGGGTCCAGCCTGGCCTTGGGCACTGCCAGGGATCCAGGGGCAGCCACAGCTGCTCTGGGAATTCCATCCCAGCCTCTCCCCACCCTGCCAGGGAACAATTTCTTCCTAATATCCGATCTAAACCTGTAATGTTTCAGTTGGCAGCCATTCCCTGGGTGCTGTCCCTGCATGCCCTGGAAATTGTCTCTCTCCAGCTTTCCTGGGGCTCCTGCAGGCCCTGCAAGGCCACCCTGAGCTCAGCCCAAAGCTTCTCCTGTGCAGGTGAACAATCCCAGCTGTGCCAGCCTTTCCTCCCAGCAGAGCTGGGTGTTTGTTACCTTCCCCACCAAAAAACTGAAATAAATAAATAAATAAATAAATAAAAATTAAGTCAATCTGGCCAACAGCGGAGGAAAATATCTTAGGTTCCATCAGCTTTTCAGTGCTGGTGTGATGGGTTCCTCATTCCACTGCGGATCCAAGGCTTGGGAGGGTGGAAAACGCTTTTCTAACCCAAAAAAGGTGCTGCAAATATCCTTCAGTGCAGGACCCTGCTGTGGGTCTTTGGCACCCTCGGGGAGCTGGGCTCAGCTCCTCTCCCAGCAAGAATCAGGAAGGATTTTCAATAATTTTTCATTACAGCTGCAATTCCATCCGGTTTTCTTCCCATCTAATGTCCTCTGTGAGATCATTTTCTGCTTTAATGTTATGTCTGTTCAGGTTCCTTTGGCTTCTTTTTATTGAGGTGTTTGGGAGTGGTTTTGTTGGTTTTTTCTTTATTGTTCTGCAGTTTAAATTGGAATAAATTCTTGTCTGCCTTCATAGGAAATCAGAAATTCAATGTTAAATATAAAATTGATCCCAAGGACTGGGCAGGATTTGTGTCTGAGAGGCAAATTCTGCAATCTCTTGGGAGAGGTATTTTAGTTTAAATAAAAGCAAAATGTACAAGTCTAAAACACCATCAGTCTTATTGTGACTTTTTAATTTTTTGTGCAGTTTTGTACCTGATCTGGGCTTATGTTCCTGAGACTTGGCTCTTCTCCCTGGGACTGACATACTGGCCTCAAAAGTAAGTTCAGCCAATTAAACTCCTCAATCCTAACTATTTTCAAATAAAAAACCTTTTCTTTTTAAGTAATGGCCTTGCATTAAATCCATTTTTCCCTGATGATAAAGGGCTGGAATGTTTCTGAAGCATTTTTTGATGTAACTATAGTGAAAGTGTTTTGTTGTGCCATGAAATAAATAATATTGGGATGTTTTGGGATAAATGTGACATTTTGCTTTTAGGAAGTTTGCTGGAGGAAATGCACTAAACTTTGGGCCATAATTAAGAAATAAACACCTTTTTAAAGGAATTTATCTGCTGGTTTGTCAGCAGCTCCAGTGGAGTCAGGATCCATCACCAGAGGTGATGAGAAGCTCATCACAGATAAAAAACATTAAAACTGAGTTATTGTTAAGCATTTGTTACTAAATATCAAATTTGAAATCCTTTTTCTCAGGTACTGGGCAGTTGCTCTGCCTGTTTATCTCCTGGTGTCTGTGGGAATCGGTTACATTTTGCTTTTTGGGATTAACATGATGAGCACAGCTCCACTCAACTCCACTCACACCATCACAGGTAATTTTATTGCTCTTTGAAAAGCTTGATTCTTCACTCAGAATTCTGGAAATCTCTAGAGAATAAACCCCAAATTTTAAGCCTGTAAATAAAACCTAAATTTTAAGCCTTTAAGCCTTTTTTTTTTCACTCAAATATTTGATTTTTTTCAGAACTCCCGGTGGGGTTTTCATCCTTTAAAGTAGCTGAGTTTGTGGTGTTGCACTATAAAATCACATAATATTCTGGGAAGAAAAGGACCTGGAAGCCATGAAATGCTCTCCTTATCTTTTGTAGATAACTTTGCAAAAAAGCAGCAGCAGAAGAAATTCCAGGAGGAGGCAATTCCAGCCCTGAGAGATATTCCCATCAGCGAGGTCAACAGGATGTTCTTCCTCCCTGAAAGAGGCACCTGCAACAGCAGATAGCTGCTATTGAAACCTGCTTGGACAAAAGATCAATAAAACTCCCAGAGTTTCATTAATTAAAACCTCTCCAAGCTAAAAATAAAAAGTCCCCCCCCAGCTTTTTTTTTTTTGGCCAGAATTTCTAATTAAATTTTTTTTTTTTATTATTATTATTATTATTATTATTATTATTATTATTATTATTATTATCATCATCATCATTATTATGACGCACTTTAATAACCTGAATTGCCCTGAAAATTATGCTCCAATAATTTATCTGGTTATTCTTTAAAAATTAAAAAAGAAAAAAAAAAAAGTGGTTTGCAAAGTGTTCTGTTGCTTGCAGCTTTCTGCTTGGAATTCCCCTCTGAGAGGGAAACAAAGCAGTTTTCAGGCAGAGTTTAATTCCTAAATTAATTCAATTTCTCTTTGAATTCAGGGGGAGAAAATGTGTTTTGCCAGTCAAACACTTGAGGATCTCTTTTAATTATTAACTGGAAGTGTTTGCATTGTAAATATGTCATTTGCCTTGGTAAATATTAATAAAATGTGGCTGGTTTTTTCCATCTTCACCTTTTTCCTGTGGTTCTGGGAGGTTTCTCCTGGGTTGAGGTGATAAGTGCTCCATTTCCCTTCACAAAATTCCTTATTCAGCCAAATCTGCTGATTCCCCCAACCCCCAAAATATCAGATTTACTGAGTTACCAAAAATAAAGGTGGGCTGAGAAGATTTGCTCAAACAAGTGTTGAATTTACTTTTTGAAACTTATTTTTAAGAAAATCCTGACAACAAAGTTCAAAGGAATAGCTGGAAATAGAGGAACTGACGGGTCCATGCTGTTAATGCCCAAGGTTAAGTGACTCAGATGTTTTATAAACAGTGAATTTTAAGGGTTTTTTTTGTTTATTTCCTTTCTCCCAAGTGTCACAAATTCAGTTATCTCCAGGACTCAATGTTATTTAGGTCTATTTTAAAACCCAGTGAATAGAACCTCATAATTTATTAGGCCTGTAACCAACTTCAGCAGAGAATTGAGTTGAAAATGTTGTTATTTCATTAAAAGATGAATAAATGTTTGAGAATTTGCCTGGAAAATCTCATGTCAAAACTTCAGAAATCTGTCAAAATGTCAAAATGCTGCTCTGGTAAAAATCACTTTGGTGTAAATATAAATCTGTGGTTGGTTGGCTTTTCTGCCTGAATTTGGAGGAAAAATCTCCTTGTTCAGCATTCCAGGTAGGATTAAAACACCTCCTTACTGAGGGGCAAAAAAGCTTTTCAACATTTCCCTTTGAAACGCTGAATTTTAGCTGGATTGGCACTGTATAAAAATGAATTTGTGTCTAAATTAGAGCAGCATTGATTTGTGTGGTAATTTAAAGTTATTTATGAAGTTTTGGGGTTTTATTTGCTGTTGTTTCTTGGCCCTGCCACGATCCTGTCCTTTTATTAATTCATTTTAATTAATGATTTAATTTTTTTAAATCGTGATTTGATCACCAGTTTTCAGTTATTTATGAAGTTTTGGGGGTTTGTTGCTGTAGTTTCCCAACCCTGCCATTATCCTGCCCTTTTATTAATAAATTTTCATTAATGATTTAATTTAAATTAACAATTTAATTTCCATTAAATCACGATTTGACGACCAGCAGCCACAAAGATGTGTTTGCCCTTTTGTCACTCCCCTCATCCATCCCAGACATTGCAGTAGTGACTGCAATCTTTTTTTTTTTTTCCTGTGTATTTTCCACCCTTTTTTCATCTGGAATTCCAGCTGACACCGAGTGCAGGCCACATTTGGGATCACCTGATGGAAGGATTAATTCAGTGCCCTGCCAAGGGTGCCCAAATCCCTTCAGCACCAAGGAAAACCCCTGGAAAATGCCCTGAGAAGCACAAATTAAAGGATAATAAAACCTGGGGCAAAGATTGGATGAGTTTCATTTCTCTGCAGACCCCACAATTATGGGGAGGCCAAGTGGGGGGGCTGGATGAAAATGAACTTTAATTTCCATTTTTCATACAAGAGGAATCTGAATTGTTTGCTCAAGGAAAACTTGAGCAGGGGTCAAACTCAAATTTGGCTTTTCTGTCGCTGCTGCTTCACCCTGGGGACCTTTCCTTCAGCGTGGGAACAAAATCAAACCAGGCAGTAGTGAGGTTTTGGGGCTGAAATGTGGATTTTGGGGAGCTGGGGATGCACAGGTCTTGCCTGTGACTGTGGGGAGAAGATCCACAGCTCTGCAAAGAGGAGAGGGGGGTTTGTAATGGAGATTTATTTAAATTTTGCTTCAGGTGTTGAGGAAAAAAAGAATCCCCACATGGTTGAACAGCAGTGGCTTTCCTTACAAAACATCCCTGGGTATCAGGTGTCCATTCTTCTCACAGACTGAGGGGGAACTAAGTCAATAAAAGGCAAAAAAAACCCCAAATTTGCCCTCATTTTCACCTTTCTGCCTTGTTGGTAGAGTTCAATCCACTGCATTGTCCCTGCTGGAATAAAACCAGGGATGAAAATTCAGTTTTGAATTAAATTTCATGTAAATGCATCCTTTTGAGTTATCCTGCAGGTTTTATCCTGTTGGGGATGGGGAAGGGAAGGGAAGGGAAGGGAAGGGAAGGGAAGGGAAGGGAAGGGAAGGGAAGGGAAGGGAAGGGAAGGGAAGGGAAGGGAAGGGAAGGGAAGGGAAGGGAAGGGAAGGGAAGGAAGGGGAGGAAAAGGGGAGGAAAGGAAAAGGGGAAAGGAAAAGGGGAAAGGAAAGGAAAGGAAAGGAAAGGAAAGGAAAGGAAAGGAAAGGAAAGGAAAGGAAAGGAAAGGAAAGGAAAGGAAAGGAAAGGAAAGGAAAGGAAAGGAAAGGAAAGGAAAGGAAAGGAAAGGAAAGGAAAGGAAAGGAGTCACCATGAAATAATGGAGGTGTCTGGGTTCCCATGGAATGGGGCTGTGCCAAAGGAGCTGGGGCTGCCAAATTTGTGTCTCTGTCTTGTTTCCATCTTGGCAGGAAAGGGAAGGATGACAAAAACAAGGACTGTGAGGATGCTCCAAGGGCTGGAGCAGCTCTGCTGGGAGGAAAGGCTGGCACAGCTGGGATTGTTCACCTGCACAGGAGAAGCTTTGGGCTGAGCTCAGGGTGGCCTTGCAGGGCCTGCAGGAGCCCCAGGAAAGCTGGAGAGAGACAATTTCCAGGGCATGCAGGGACAGCACCCAGGGAATGGCTTCACACTGAAACATTGCAGGTTTAGATCAGATAATTGGGAAAAAATCCTTCCCTGTGAGGGTGGGCAGGGCTGGGATGGAATTCCACCCCTGGATCCCTGGCAGTGCCCAAGGCCAGGCTGGACACTGGGGCTGGAGCAGCCTGGGACAGTGGGAGGTGTCCCTGCCCATGGATGAGATTTGAGGTCCTTCCCAACCCAAACCATTCCATGATTTCCCTTGAGTTAAGCAGATCAACTTTGGCTGTTCCCTAAAGCTTTATCCAGAGCATCCCAAAATTATTCCATAATTCCATATTCCATAAGGGATTCTGTCAGCTCCACTGGATCATCTCAAACTCTCCCTGTGGCTGGGCAGGGGCAGAACAGGAGCACGGACAACCCAAGACCCCCGATCTAAAATAAAAAGCTCTAATATTAATATTAAATGTTCATCCTGGGACATATCTGTGCTAGGGGTCCATAAACAAAAAGCTTTAATATTAATATTAAATGTTCATCCTGGGACACATCTGTGCTAGGGGTCTATAAACAAAAATATTTACTATTAATATTAAATGTTCATCCTGGGACACATCTGTGCTAGGGGTCTATAAACAAAAAGCTTTAATATTAATATTAAATGTTCATCCTGGGACACATCTGTGCTTGGGGTCTATAAACATTAAAAATGCAACAAGTTTCTCTGAACTTCAGCTTCATTTATGGGGGGAAATCATAAAATGTTTCTGCCTTACAAACAAAATACTTGATCTTGTGTAAATATGTTTTGTTTGCCTTTCTTGTGGGCCTGAGTGGGTAAAATGTTCCATTTGAAGGGTCCTGTTGAATTTCCAGGCAGCTTTCACCCAGCTGGGATGAATGGGGGGTTTTGTCTCTCTCCATTCAGGAACTTTCTCCTTTTCTGAGGAAAAAGTTTTAGAAAGATTCAGTTTTGTTCTGCCAGTTCCCTTCCAGAGGATTTGCCAAAGTCAGTTTTGTTGGGATGCTGTGCTGGGGATGAAAAGCAGCTGAGAGACGAAGGCAGTGCAGAATAAATAACATTAAAAAGGAATAAATAACAATAAACAGGAATATAAATAACAATAAATAGGAAATGTTTCAGTGAATTGGCTGGACTTTGTCTCTGCAGCTCAGAAAGCTGCTCTTGGGAATATTGTTGTCATTCTCCCTGCATAAATGTAATTTAGGGGGGGAAATCCTGTTGTAGTCCTTTTTCTCTTAATTCAAATTAATCCTGCATCATATTTAGAAAAAAACCACATTTCTGTGGCATGCAAGAATTTGCTTCCCTTGGATGTTTTTATCCTTCAGAGCTTGTCTTGAAAGCTCCTGGAAGCAGAATTCAAAGCTGCTGTACGAAAATCAACTTTAATTAGGATTTTTCCTACAAGAGGAATCTGAAATTTTAGAGGTTTTGTGGAGGCATCTCTGTAGCAGGGAATAAAAAGTTGCTTTTTGCTGCCAATTATTTTTAGGATTTTTCCTACAAGAGGAATCTGGAATTGTGCAGGTTTTTTGGAGGCACCTCTGTACCAGGGACCAGCAACAAAAAGTTGCTTTTTGCTGCCATCATTTATAGGGTTTTTCATCTAAGAGGAATCTGAAATTGTAGAAGTTTTGTGGAGGCATCTCTGTAGCAGGGAATTAAAAACTGCTTTTTGCTACCAATTATTTTTAGTATTTTTGATCTAAGAGGAATCTGAAATTGGGCAGGTTTTGTGGAGGCATCCCTGTACCAGGGAATTAAAAACTGCTTTTTGTTGCCAATTATTTTTAGGATTTTTCATCCAAGAGGAATCTGGAATTGCAGAGGTTTTTCTGGAGGCATCCCTGTACCAGGAAATAAAAAGCTGGTTTTTGCTGCCAATTATTTTTAGGATTTTTGAT